CTACAGAGTGGCTCACAATTATGGCACTGGCACTTGGGGGGACTTTAGAAGGCCTAGAGGGGCTTTCCGAAGGCGTAGAGGGCTTTCAGAAGGCCTAGATTGGCCTTCAGCAGGTCTAGAGGGGTTTTCAGAGGGCCTAGATTGGCCTTCAGAAGGCCTAGAGGGGCTTTCAGAAGGCCTAGAGGGCTTTCAGAAGGCCTAGAGGGCTTTCAGAAGGCGTAGATGGGCCTTTAGAGGGCCAAAATTGGGCCAATCGTTCTGATTTTTTTTGGAGGTAAATCTTAAAGACCCAAAAGCTGACTTTCAAAATCCCATAATTCCCATTTTTCTCCACTTTTCCGTTTGCTTTCTTTCTCTTCCGAAAATGGTTTTTTTCGATTTCTCCGTCTTTCCCGGGCTTTCTCATGGATTCGCGAAAAACAAAAGCATCCTCGGAGCCAATTGATTTTCCATGGAAATGGATTAACCCCTTTTCTCTGGGAATAATGAGCAAAATTGCCTTTTGGCCATCCACGGGGTTCTTTTTTGCCAAAAATTGGAACGCATTTCTGGCTATTGATGTATTTTTGGCGAAACTGGAACGCACGCTAGCTATTGATGCGCTTTGGGAAGATTCCCCTTAAAATTCGATTCAAAAATTTTTCCCCTTTCAAGTTGGAGGCGAATTTTGTGAGAAAATTCTTGAAAACTCATGAGAATTGAAGTATTTTTGGCTAAACTGGAACGCACGCTGGCTATTGGTGACTTTTGAAAGGCGAAATGCTAATTTTTTGAGTTTGTTTTTTTTGAGCATTGAGTTTAGCTGTGCTAAAGCTTCTAGAACACTCTAGTTCATATTTTGAGTTTTTTTTTTGGCCAAACTGGAACGCACGCTGGCTATTTATGACTTTTGGAAGGCGAAATGTTCACTTTCTGAGTTTGATTTTTTTGGGAATTGACTTTAGCCGTTCTAAAGCTTCTAGAACACTCTAATTCAGATTTTGAGTTTTTTTTGGCCAATCTGGAACGCACGCTGGCTATTGGTGACTTTTGGAAGGCAAAATGCTAATTTTTTGAGTTTGATTTTTTGGGCATTGAGTTTAGCCGTTCTAAAGCTTCTAGAACACTCTAATTCAGATTTTGAGTTTTTTTTTTGACCAAACTGGAAGGCACGCTGGCTATTGGTGACTTTTGGAAGGCGAAATGTTCACTTTCTGAGTTTGATTTTTTTGGGAATTGACTTTAGCCGTTCTAAAGCTTCTAGAACACTCTAATTCAGATTTTGAGTTTTTTTTGTGCGATCTGGAACGCACGCTAGCTATTAACAACTTTTTTTAAAACTTTCATGGATTTTCTACGTTTTCGAAAGTTTTTTCTATTTTTTGAAGGATTCCCAATTTTTTGCCATGGTTGCCATGGATTGAAAACGGATTTTTCCATTTTTCTATCGAGCTCCCGACTATTTTGTAAGGGATTCTCAAGCTTTAGAAAGAAAACAATGTTTTACGTCAAGCTGGAACGCGACCCGAATCGATTTTTCATTACACTCACGGTTTTTCGGGATTTTGAGCAAAAATCACCAAGAAACAATCGCTGAAACGCGGCTCAGAACCGATTTTTGGCCATTCTGGAGCGCACGCAACCGTTTTTCAACATTTTTTTAGGCAAAATCTCCAAAAAAAAATCGGCCCTCTTTCTCCAGTCAATTCCCGATTGTCCCCTCACCTCGATTGCACGAAACATATGTTTCTCTTTTCCCCGATTCTCCTCAATCTCTCCAATGCCTCGATTCGATGGCACTTTCAAGGAAAACCCAACCTTTTTTCCCCTTTTCCCCTTTTCCCTCTCAAGAACCGGCCATTTTCGATCAGTCAACCCGTGTCCCTTTGGGCCAAGTTTTGAGGCCAAAGCTAATCTCTTTTTGATTCATTATTGTTTACATTCATCTATCTGGAAGTCACAATAGCTGATTCTTTAAGAATTTCAACGATTTTTGGCTGATCAGATTTTTCACCTCAACCTGCGTCCCTTTGGGTCAAGTTTTGAGGCCAAAGCTAATCTCTTTTTGATCCATTATTGTTTACATTCATCTATCTGGAAGTCACAATAGCTGATTCTTTAGGAATTTCAACGACTTTGGTCGATTAAATTTTTTCCGTCGACTCTCGTCCCTTTCGGTCAAGTTTTGAGTCAAAAACTGATCTCTTTTTGATTAATTTTTGCTTACATTCATCTATCTGGAAGTCACAGTAGCTAATTCTTTAGGAATTTCAACGATTGCAACGATTCTTTAAGAATTAACATTCTATGCTCACCAAATTGTTCTCAAAATTTTCAAAACTTCAAAATTTCAAAATTTTCAAATTTTCAAATTTTCAATTTTCAACTTATCAAAACTGTACTGTGGACTCCAGCTTGGCAAAAATGACAAAAATTTCCCCCGATTTCAGTGATTCCAGTGGCATTTCGTCCTTGGACGAGCAATCCAAGAAAATGGGAAAATTTCCGCGCAGAAAAGAGGAGGAATTATATTTTTTTTTGTTCTTTTCTTCTGGCCCGGGACCGGCAATTATGAAATCGATTACTTCAAATGGAAAAACGACGATAAATAGCTAGAAAACGGGGGAAAATTCGGGATTTTGAGCAGGATTAAGCTCAGCTGCGAGCTGCAGTCGTTTACTTTCAGTTTTCGTTTATAACAACTTCCCCGGATAGTTTTTCAAGAGACGAACACTTTCGGGTTCTTTAGATTTTGAGTTCTAGGCCTATCCTAGAGCTTAAAGTTAAAGCAACTGAATGCGAATGCTAAATTCGGGAAATTCCTGGTTCTTTGCTTCAAGAAAATGGGTTTCCTTGATGTCAAAAAATATATTACTACTTTTTCTTGATGCTTTTCTCAAGTAAGCACGTAAAACCCTTGAAATTTTCGTTATTTAACTGATTAGTTAAAGTTGACTGATTTAACTGAAACAGAAACCTTTTGAAAGTTACAAAAATCGGATCCTTTGAGCTTTTTTCATGCTCCAAGTCGGTCAGCATCTTTATCCAGTCTTTCTTTTGTTAATTCGGTTCCCCCATTCGGTTCCCCATTTGGCTCCTTCGATTCGGTGCCCCCCGATTCGGTGCCCCCCGATTCGGTGCCCCCCGATTCGGTGCCCCCCGATTCGGTGCCCCCCGATTCGGTGCCCCCCGATTCGGTTCCGTCCATTCGGTTCCCCCATTCGATTCCCCCGGATTTGTTTCCTCGGATTTGGTTCTTCGGATTTGGTTCTTCGGATTTGGTTCCGTCCATTCGGTTCCCCCATTCGATTCCCCCGGATTTGGTTCTTCGGATTTGGCTCCTCGGATTTGGCTCCTCGGATTTGGCTCCTCGGATTTGGCTCCTCGGATTTGGTTCCCCGGATTTGGTTCCCCGGATTTGGTTCCCCGGATTTGGTTCCCCGGATTTGGTTCCCCGGATTTGGTTCCCCGGATTTGGTTCCCCGGATTTGGTTCCCCGGATTTGGTTCCTCGGATTTGGTTCCTCGGATTTGGTTCCTCGGATTTGGTTCCGTCCATTCGATTCCCCCGGATTTGGTTCTTCGGATTTGGCTCCTCGGATTTGGCTCCTCGGATTTGGCTCCTCGGATTTGGCTTCTCGGATTTGGTTCCTCGGATTTGGTTCCCCCCATTCGGTTCCCCTATTCGGTTCCCCATTCGGTTCCCCCATTCGGTTCCCCCATTCGATTCCTGCGATTCGGCTTCCCCATTCGGTTCCCCTATGCGGTTTCCCCGCTTCGCTGCCCCATTCGGTTCCCCGATTCGGTTCACCAATTCGGTTCCCCATTCGTACCCCCGATCCGGTCCCCCATTCGGTTCCCCGATTCACTACCCCCCATTTGGTTCTCACTCTCTTTCCCTTCAAAAATCCGTTTTCATTAAACAACCCCTTTCTGGGAAATCAAAAATCCCCAAATTGTCACTCAGCATCGATTCTCAGGGGCTCATTTATGGGTGCCTCGCAAAAAAAATGCACATTCAGCCATCGAATCCAAATCCCAGTCTTTTCACACGTTTTTTTTCGCTTTATCGACAAGAAAATGGATGCAATCTCTTTTCTGGAGTACACAACACTCACACCCCATTATTTCCCCTCACCACACTCTTCATGAGGAAAATCGGCCTTCCGGCCTTGCCCTGAGATACGGGGTGAGACTGGAAAACGGCGATTTCTCTCGTTTTTCTCTTGTTTTGGACGTCAGTTTTTTCAATAACATTCTTGTTTTTAGATTTTTAGTTTTTTTAATACAAAACGAGCGCCGCGTTTCTTTGCTCGAGTTCCTTTTTGGCAAGACTTTTGTTTTGCTTTTTTGGCAAAACTCTCCGCGTACAAATACTTGTTCACCCCTTGGATCAAAACCCTTTGAGCCTAACAAGCACCAGCAATGTCCTGAATCTGGTTATGCTCTTGCTTAGCTTGACAAGGTTTGACAAGGGTCAGGTTTGACAAGGGTCAGGTTTGACCTTGGCTTAGACTTTCTGGCTTGGCTTAAGGCATTTAGAGCTCACGGAAGATCACTGGACCTCGTCTGTCCTTGTCAGCTCCTTGTCAGCTCCTTGTCAGCTCCTTGTCAGCTCCTTGTCAGCTCCAGTCAAGCCAGCTCCTTGTCAGCTCCAGTCAAGCCAGCTCCAGTCAAGTCAGCTTGGCTAATCGGTTCTGATCGATCGCTGGCTCTGAACTAGTTTACTCTGAGCCTACTCTGATCCAACCTTTTCCCTGAGCCTGTCCTGTCCTTTCTTTCTGTCTCTTGTCTGTTTCTTGATACATTTCTAAACTCTCTTTCTTTATTGTTTTCAAGTTTCTCTCAACCCCATCCGTTTTCAGGTAGGTGAATGCGCCTCTCGGGCGCCGATGCGCCCCACCGAACGATCGTTTTTGGAAAATAAAAGAACAAGGCAAGAAAATTTTTGCATTAAAGCCGATCCTGGATATCACAAAGACTAAAAATTAAGGAAAAATATTGAAATTTAAAAATTTTCAGATGCTGCAGCAGCCCGTCTCGGAGCTGCGCTCATTCCAGGCCCTCTCCAAGTACTCGGGTCCAAGGTGGGTACTGGAAATTTGGATTTTCTTAAAATTTACATATTGTATATGTCAATTTTGCTTCAGGGGAGCCTTCGCTAGACGCCAAAGCCTCGCACAGCAGCGCCGGCAATCGCAGAGTCGACGCAGGACCGATAGTGAGGTTGGTCGCAGGAATGGGATTTAAAAAATCGAAAATTATGCCAATCTGGAGCGCACACTAAGATTTGTGATTGTTTTTGTGTCAATTAAAAGTCATTGAAACAATTTTCATTTAATCAGCATTGCTTCAATGGTGCTTTAAATGCAAATTGCTAGTGGATTCAAAAATTCAAAAATTGAATTTCTGCAAGCTGGATAGCACACCAGCGACTGAAACCGTTGAAATTGAGTAATTCCGTTTTTTTAAGTCGATAGATGGGTCGCCGTCTCGTCTCGAGGCTCAGCCACAGCAGCCGTCGACCAGCTTCCGATCAGCTGATTATCCGACAAGGTTAGTTGCAGAATAGCGATGCTGACTGACTGTACTGACTCTAAACGATGCTCTAAACGAAATAAGTTCTAGGACCAAGGCTTAGGCTTAGGCTCAGGCTTAGGCTTAGGCTTGGCTTAGACTTTGGCTTAGGCTTAGGCTCTGGCTCTGGCTCTGGCTCTGGCTCAGGCTCAGGCCTAGGCTTAGGCTTTGGGACCAGGACAATCAGATTTCACTGTTGAAATCAGGCAAGGTTAGAGCCAAGCCCAGGTCTAATTATAGCTTTGCTACTCAAGTTTCAAGTTCAATCAGACCAGATTAGGGTTGGGAAGCCAGCCTAGTCCGCCAGCCTTCATATTTAGAGCCAAGGCCAAAGCCAAGGCCAAAGCCAAGGCCAAAGCCAAGACCAAAGCCAAGGCCAAAGCCAAGGCCAAAGCCAAGGCCAAAGCCAAGGCCAAAGCCAAGGCCAAAGCCAAGGCCAAAGCCAAGGCCAAAGCCAAGGCCAAAGCCAAGGCCAAAGCCAAGGCCAAAGCCAAGGCCAAAGCCAAGACCAAAGCCAAGGCCAAAGCCAAGGCCAAAGCCAAGGCCAAAGCCAAGGCCAAAGCCAAGGCCAAAGCCAAGGCCAAAGCCAAGGCCAAAGCCAAGGCCAAAGCCAAGGCCAAAGCCAAGGCCAAAGCCAAGGCCAAAGCCAAGGCCAAAGCCAAGGCCAAAGCCAAGGCCAAAGCCAAGGCCAAAGCCAAGGCCAAAGCCAAAGCCATTTCCATTCCAGCCCTCACGTGAAACAAGTCGAGTGGGGAGACGAAGATGTGGTACTGGACAATGATCAATACGAGATTGAAGCTGATGAGATTTCCGAGCTGCCGTATCCTGGGTTCGTTTCACTCATTTGATCGAAAAATATCAACGATAAAGTCTTCTGAAAACTAGATTTGGTTTTGGCTACTTTTTCAGAAAACCCAAGACCAGATCACTTACCAGAGCAAACCAAGTCTTGTTCTGGCTCTCACTTTAGCTTTTTAGAACCTTTTTAGAGCCCTGCAATCAAGCGATTCGCTAGCCGACTTTCAACCGCAACGGTTCGCGCCACTAGAAACCCCATAGAAGCCGGAAATTTCAATTTTTTTTACCCAATTTCGTTTATCTGGATAGCACAAAGCTTTTTTACCTTTTTACCTTTTTAGAAATACCTTTTTAACATCTTTTCGAGATCTTGTGAGTGAATTTTTCGTTATCAGCCCGGAAAATGTTTATTTGATAGAAAAATTTGGGTAAATGATTTGTTTTCAGCGGAACTGGATATCAGTTTTGCTCTTGAAAGCGTTCGATTTGTAAATATGAGATTTTCAGCTTCGTCGAGCCGGCACTTCACTGTCTAAAGCAGGCGAGCGCACCGCGGTCATGGGCTCTCACAGCTGTGATGAGCCCGTGGTTCGACCGGATCACCATGGCCGTAATTGTTCTGAATTGTATCACGTTGGGTGAGCATTACTGTAACAATAGCAGGCTTTCCTGAAGCCATTTTCATGAAATTGCAAATTCCCATGATTTGATTCATGTTTAGACCGGAAAGGCGCGGAATTCTTTGCGAAACGAAAATTCTAATAAAATTTTTGGGAGTACTGGAGCGCACATAGCTCATTGCAGTTTTTAGATTTTAGATTTATGCAAATTTTTAGTAAGCCATAGGTCCGTGGTTCGACTCCGCTGAGTAACGAAATTTTTTAAAATCGTCTTTTCCACAAATTTTTTGAGCGTTTCAGCTAGTGTGTGCTCCAGGTCGATAGAATAATTCAGGAATTGATCCAATTCCAACTTAAATCCGGAAAAATCCGAGTTTGAGTGATTTTCTCGAAAACTATCTATGGAGTGAATAAAATTTTGAAATATTCCGCCATTATGGAAGTCACATTGGGGAATCGTTGCAAAAGTTTTGGGTAAATTTGATGAAATTTGTGGGTGGAGTGAGACAAATGAGTTTGGATCAAAAAGGCGCGGAATTCTTTAAGAAACGAAAATTCTAATAAATTTTTTGGGAGTTCTGGAGCGCACATAGCTCATTGCAGTTTTTGGATTTTAGCTTTATGCAAATTTTTAGTAAGCGATAGGGTCCTGGTTCGACTCCGCTGAGTGACGAGCTTTTTTAAATCCTCTTTTGGAGAAATTTTTTGAGCATTTCAGCTAGTGTGCGCTCCAGATCGATAGAATAATTCGGCAATTGATCCAATTCCCAGACAAATCCAGAAAAAATCCCAGGGGAAGTCACCTCCGGATTTTTCTTCGGGAGTTGCGAGGTGTTCTTCGCGATCCGCGTAATCGCCCTTCATCTGGCACAATTTCAGGAATGTACCGACCGTGCGAGGACGGGGATGATTGCACGACGTATCGTTGCGTCGCGTTGGACATCGTCGATCAGATCATTTTCGTTTATTTCACTCTGGAGATGGTCATCAAAATCGTAGCGCTGGGGTTCTATGGACAATCGGCGTATTTATCAGACACGTGGAATCGACTCGATTTCTTCATCGTTGTCGCCGGGTGAGTTGACGGGAACACTTTCTTTCTCTCCCGAATGCAAGGTAATGGATAGTAGACATGGTTTTTGGAAAAATCGGATTGGATCGGATCGTATCGGTCGGACGGATCGAATAGAATCGGATCGAGCTGACCCGATCGGTTGGACCTATCGAATCGGATCCGGCTAGCCCGTTCGGTCGGGCAGATCGGATCGGACTGACTCAATCGGTCGGACGTATCGGATCGGATCAGCCCAGCCGGTCGAAAGGATCGGATCGGATTGGATCGGGCTAGCTTAATCGGTCGGACGGATCGGATCAGGCCAGCCCGATCGGCCGGACGGATCGGATCGGATTGGGTCGGATCGGATCGAGCTGGCTTGTTCGGTTGGACCTATCGAATCGGATCAGGCCAGCCCGATCGGCCAGACGGATCGGATCAGATTGGATCGGATCGAATCGAGCTGGCCCGATCGGTTCGACCTATCGGATTCGGCTAACCCGATCGGTCGGACGGATCGGATCGGGCTCATCCGATTGGTCGGACGTATCGAATAGGCTCAGGCCAGCCCGATCGGTCGGATGGATTGGATCGGATCCGGCTGGCCCGATCGGTTAGGCCTATCGGATCGGATCTGGCTAGCTCGATTGGTCGGACGGATCGGATCCGGCTGGCCTGATCGGTTGGGCCTATCGGATCGGATCTGGCTAGCTCGATTGGTCGGACGGATCGGATCCGGCTGGCCCGATCGGTTAGGCCTATCGGATCGGATCTGGCTAGCTCGATTGGTCGGACGGATCGGATCCGGCTGGCCCGATCGGTTAGGCCTATCGGATCGGATCTGGCTAGCTCGATTGGTCGGACGGATCGGATCCGGCTGGCCCGATCGGTTGGGCCTATCGGATCGGATCTGGCTAGCTCGATTGGTCGGACGGATCGGATCCGGCTGGCCTGATCGGTTGGGCCTATCGGATCGGATCTGGCTGGACCGTTCCGATCCGATCCGGTAACCATGTCTACTGGATAGCTCAGTGGTTAGAGCAATCCGGAAGTAGGAAGCAAAAGGTCGAGGGTTCAATCTCCTCTCCGGAAATCGATTTTTTTCTTGCCTAGTCCTTCACTTCTTTATTTCAATCGAGTCATTTCAATCATTCAATTCAATCAATTCAATCAATCAACAATCGAGTTCAACCTTTTGGTGCTCAAAATTTCCTTTCTGGTCCATTAAACACCTCATCTTTCTTACAAAAGCGCAAGAAAATGGAGAAGTTGAGATTTGCGTGTACTAGAAAGGTACAAGAAAGCTACAAGAAAGCTACAAGCTTTTTAAAAAGCTTTCCTTCATCATTTATCAGAGAAATTGCAGAATCGCTGAGGTTTTCCTGAAAGAAACCGTCGGAAACATCAATTTGACGGCGATTCGAACGATTCGTGTTTTACGGCCGTTGCGCGCAGTCAACCGAATCCCATCGATGAGGATTTTAGGTCAGTTTTCACCCATTTGACTTGGAAATTATTATTCCAAAACCAAAAAAATGATTTCTCTTGACTTTCTCTAGTTCGTCACTGTTTTTGAAGCCGTTTTAGTCACGCAAACCGTTCAAATTTGCACAATTTTCAAAGACTCTCGCTTTCAGTTCAATTTTCTGGTTCAACTTTTCAAAAAATCGCACACTTTTATCTAGTTTTATCATTTTTACTGAGAAAAGAGCCAATTTTGCCTAAAATTTTTCATTTCTAGCTTCAGTTACTTCAGAATAGTTAAAATTCGAGAATTTTCAGTGAATCTCCTCCTCGACACTCTACCAATGCTCGGAAATGTTCTATTGTTGTGTTTTTTTGTCTTTTTCATTTTTGGCATCGTTGGCGTTCAGTTATGGGCCGGATTGTTACGGTAAGAGAGAAAGATAGAAAGAAAGAAAGAAAGAAAGGAAGGAAGAAAGATAGATAGAAAGAAAGAAAGATAGAAAGAAAGAAAGATGGAAAGATAGATAGATAGATAGATAGAAAGGAAGATAGATAGAAAGATAGATAGATAGATAGATAGAAAGATAGATAGATAGAAAGGAAGATAGATAGAAAGGAAGATAGATAGATAGAAAGGAAGATAGATAGAAAGGAAGATAGATAGAAAGGAAGATAGATAGAAAGGAAGATAGATAGAAAGGAAGATAGATAGATAGAAAGGAAGATAGATAGAAAGGAAGATAGATAGAAAGGAAGATAGATAGAAAGGAAGATAGATAGAAAGGAAGATAGATAGAAAGGAAGATAGATAGATAGAAAGGAAGATAGATAGAAAGGAAGATAGATAGAAAGGAAGATAGATAGAAAGGAAGATAGATAGAAAGGAAGATAGATAGAAAGGAAGATAGATAGAAAGGAAGATAGATAGAAAGGAAGATAGATAGAAAGGAAGATAGATAGAAAGGAAGATAGATAGAAAGGAAGATAGATAGAAAGGAAGATAGATAGAAAGGAAGATAGATAGAAAGGAAGATAGATAGAAAGGAAGATAGATAGAAAGGAAGATAGATAGAAAGGAAGATAGATAGATAGAAAGGAAGATAGATAGAAAGGAAGATAGATAGAAAGGAAGATAGATAGAAAGGAAGATAGATAGAAAGGAAGATAGATAGAAAGGAAGATAGATAGATAGAAAGGAAGATAGATAGAAAGGAAGATAGATAGAAAGGAAGATAGATAGAAAGGAAGATAGATAGAAAGGAAGATAGATAGAAAGGAAGATAGATAGAAAGGAAGATAGATAGAAAGGAAGATAGATAGAAAGGAAGATAGATAGAAAGGAAGATAGATAGAAAGGAAGATAGATAGAAAGGAAGATAGATAGAAAGGAAGATAGATAGAAAGGAAGATAGATAGAAAGGAAGATAGATAGAAAGGAAGATAGATAGAAAGGAAGATAGATAGAAAGGAAGATAGATAGAAAGGAAGATAGATAGGTAGAAAGATAAGATAGATAGAAAGGAAGATAGATAGAAAGGAAGGAAGATAGATAAAAAGGAAGATAGATAAAAAGGAAGATAGATCGAAAGGAAGATAGATAGAAAGGAAGATAGATAGATAGAAAGGAAGATAGATAGAAAGGAAGATAGATAGAAAGGAAGATAGATAGAAAGGAAGATAGATAGGTAGAAAGATAAGATAGATAGAAAGGAAGATAGATAGAAAGGAAGATAGATAGATAGATAGAAAGGAAGATAGATAGAAAGGAAGGAAGATAGATAGATAGAAAGATAGATAGGAAGGAAGATAGATAGGAAGGAAGATAGATAGAAAGGAAGATAAATAGAAAGGAAGATAGATAGAAAGGAAGATAGAAAGGAAGATAGAAAGATAGCTAGAAAGGAAGATAGAAAGAAAGATAGAAAGAAAGAAAGGCAGATAGAAAGAAAGACAGATAGCTAGAAAGAAAGAAAAGCCAAAATTCAAGAAATTTCATAAAAAACTACTCAAATCTAACTTAGATTTCTTAAATTTTCCAAAAATTTCCAGAAATCGATGCGTCCTCGATTTACCCAATGTAAATATTTCATCAGATGAGCTCACTTTTGCGAATATCTCTTTGTCAAGGTGAGGGAGAGTATTTTAAAGAAATCGTCCAAATTGAGAATGTAAAAAGCCTCTAGAATTTGTAGAAAACCCAGCTAAATCTAGAAGCAAATTCTTTCTCAAAAATTTGAGCACAGTGACGCGCAGAAAACGCGAAAGACGGCCAAGTCGCTCAGGTTATCGGAAATTTGTTTCGCAATTTACCATTCGCAATCTTTCTGGACGATCTGGATGTCACACTAGTCGATGAGCAGCTTAAATCTGACGTTTGCCATGTGTGGCAACTTTTGCCATTGGTGCGTTGCTTGCGGTCCAGCATTTGTGGCTTCTCGAGAAGCAGATTTGATTGAAAATCGCATTTTTGGACGATCTGGATGTCACACTAGTCGATAAGCAGTTTAAAATCCAGAATTTTTGATTAACAACCAGAATCGTTCGGGGCGTTGCTTGCGGCCCAGAATTCGTGGCTTCTCGAAAAGCAAATTTGATATTTGAGCTCAAAGTTGGATCGCCAATGGCAAAAGGGGCGGGGCGTCGCTCACAGTTCTTTTCTATTATAAATAAGTCTTTTTTGAAAGCCTACAACTGTCTAGATGCTAATATTAATGATAATTTTTATATAGTTTTAAAGAAAACACTTCAAGGTTTCGTTTTTTTCGTTTCCAGTGCTCAAAATTGATTTCCTACCGTAATTTCCAGGTACTACATTCCCGAGGACACGTCGATGGAGTACATTTGCTCAAATCATGAACACTCGGGTCTGCACACGTGCCAGAATTTGCCGCCCTACACCCAGAATGGAATCCGGTAGGTGGAATGGTCGTTGTGCACTCCAGATTGGTCCAGATGGTCCAGATGGTCCAGATGATCTAGTGGAATGGTCCAGATGGTCCAGATGATCTAGTGGAATGGTCCAGATGGTCCAGATTGGTCCAGCTGGTCCAGTGAGATGGTCCAGATGGTCCAAATTGGTCCAGATGGTCCAGTGGAATGATTCTTATGGCCCAGATTGGTCCAGATGGTCCGGTGGAATAGTCCAGATGGTCCAGATGGTCCAGATGGTCCAGATGGCCCAGTGGAATGGTTCAGATGGTCCAGATGGTCCATTGGAATGGTCCAGATTAAACCATGAGCGTTATAAACGTGACTTTTTTGTTTTTAAACACAAAAGTTCGATGTTGAAATGATTTTTGACAATTCTGGAACGCACAATGGGTTTTTGGAGTGATTTTGATCTTTTGCGAAGCACTAGAGAGCTTCCGTTTGGTTCAGTTTGCGCAATTTTTGGGCTTTTTCTAGCTGCAATCTGAGCCTCGATCAATACGATCAAATCTCCGATTTCGCGTGCATCAACTGGAATCTGTACTACAGTAAATGCGAGGTTGATTTTGGAATCGTTCGGTGCACTGAGATTGTTCAGGTTGAGCACCGGAATCCGTTCCAAGGGAGTGTCTCCTTTGACAATATCGGCTTCGCTTGGGTGGCCATTTTTCTGGTTGGTTTTTTCACAATCAAGTTCTACAATAGACAGTTATTGTTAGTTATTGTTAGTTATTGTTAGCGAATGGAAATACAATCGACGCTCGATAGTAAATCACTTTTGAAAACTCACGACAAAACGCTTAAGAAAATACAAGGGCAAAAAGCTCGATAGTAAATGACTCGATAGTAAATCACGCTCGATCGTAAATAGCTTTTGGAGAATCCCTCTTGGAGAATCCTTATTTCAGGTGATTTCGCTGGAGGGTTGGACGGATATCATGTACTATGTGCAAGATGCGCACTCCTTTTGGAATTGGATCTACTTTGTGCTACTCATTGTGGTCATTTTTCCTTCTCGATCCAAGATCTTCCTCGTTTAGACTTTCAGTAGCATTGTCTAAAGCTTCCAAAAGCTTTCTAAAGCTTTCTAAACCTACCAACAGCTTTCTAAACCTACCAAAAGCTTTCTAAGCATTCCAAAAGCTGTCTAAGACTTCCAAAAGCTTTCTAAGCCTTCCAAAAGCTTTATGAGCTTACCAACAGCTTTCTAAGCATTCCAAAAGCTGTCTAAGACTTCCAAAAGCTTTCTAAGCCTTCCAAAAGCTCTCAAAAGCTTCCAAAAGCTTTCTGTGCCTACCAACAGCTTTCTAAACCTACCAAAAGCTTTCTAAGCCTTCCAAAAGCTCCCAAAAGCTTCCAAAAGCTTTCTGTGCCTACCAAAAGCTTTCTAAGCCTTCCAAAAGCTCCCAAAAGCTTCCAAAAGCTTTCTAAACCTACCAAAAGCTTTCTAAGCATTCCAAAAGCTGTCTAAGACTTCCAAAAGCTTTCTAGGCCTTCCAAAAGCTCCCAAAAGCTTCCAAAAGCTTTCTGTGCCTACCAACAGCTTTCTAAACCTACCAAAAGCTTTCTAAGCCTTCCAAAAGCTCCCAAAAGCTTCCAAAAGCTTTCTAAACCTACCAAAAGCTTTCTAAGCATTCCAAAAGCTGTCTAAGACTTCCAAAAGCTTTCCAAGTGGATCTTTCAGTGGATAAGCAGGATTACAGTACATTAAAGCAACAGCAATCTAACTCAAAGTTATTTAGCTCTCCGTCTAGAACTACAGTAACCCTTCATTTTTCAGATAGGTGCCTTTTTCATGATCAACTTGTGCCTGGTCGTCATTGCCACCCAGTTTGCCGAAACGAAACGCCGAGAAACCGAGCGAATGTTGCAAGAGAGGAAACGAATGCAGAGTCAAGCCGGATCGCTTTGTAAGTGCTAAAATGAGTCCTTTAAGCAAGGAAATAAGCTTATTGATCAATCTGGAACGCAGAACAAGCATAGAACCTCATAGTGAACTTGTTTGGAACTCAAAAACCCTGCAAGAATATTCTTGATCTTATCAAGAACAAAGCCGGCGTCAAACTGAAGTCTTTGAGCACGGAAAGCTTTAAAGTTAGAGCTCATTGGGCTATCTGGAAGTCAGAACACTATCTGGAACTCATTGAACCCCATAATGAATCATTTTTTGTTTCAGCTGGCAGCGAGATGGGCATCGCCACTTCATCCGTCGAAGGCGGCGGTGGCGGCGACTCGGTGTACGCAGCGATCGTTCGTTTCATTCGGCAAACGTTTCGGAGAGCGAAAAAGTACACGAAAAAGGTGAGTGGGTGAGAAATTTGGCAAAATGACAATAGTTATTTTGCGTTTGGACCGGTTCAGCTGCCCAAACTTCGAGAAATTCAAGTTCTTTATCGGTTCCGAAAGCCCTCAAAATTGTTTTGCAAAGCCAGTTTTACAATCTACCAAATAATAGCCAAACTACAGTATTTCTCAACTAAAATTCTTAGTCTTAAGCTTTGCTGAGGATATTTAATTGTAGATGATCTTCTTCAAGTTTCAAGCTTCCAATTGAGCTTGATTGAGCTCCAAATTGAGCTTGAAATTGAGCTTGATTGAGCTCCAAATTGAGCTTGATAGCGGTCCAAATTGAGCTTGAAATTGAGCTTGAAATTGAGCTTGATTGAGCTCCAAATTGAGCTTGAAATTGAGCTTGATTGAGCTCCAAATTGAGCTTGATAGCGGTCCAAATTGAGCTTGAAATTGAGCTTGAAATTGAGCTTGATTGAGCTCCAAATTGAGCTTGAAATGGAGCTTGAAATTGAGCTTGATTGAGCGTGATTGAGCTTCAAGTTGAGCTTGAAATTGAGCTGCAAATTGAGCTTGAAATTGAGCTTGATTGAGCTCCAAATTGAGCTTGAAATTGAGCTTGGAATTGAGCTTGAAATTGAGCTTGAAATTGAGCTTGATTGAGCTCCAAATTGAGCTTGAAATTGAGCTTGATTGAGCCCCAAATTGAGCTTGAAATTGAGCTTGATAGCGCTCCAAATTGAGCTTGAAATTGAGCTTGATTGAGCTTCAAGTTGAGCTTGAAATTGAGCTTGATTGAGCTCTAAATTGAGCTTGAAATTGAGCTTGATAGCGCTCCAAATTGAGCTTGAAATTGAGCTTGATTGAGCTCCAAATTGAGCTTGAAATTGAGCTCCAAATTGAGCTTGATTGAGCTCCAAATTGAGCTTGAAATTGAGCTTGAAATTGAGCTTGAAATTGAGCTCCAAATTGAGCTTGATTGAGCTCCAAATTGAGCTTGAAATTGAGCTTGATTGAGCTTCAAGTTGAGCTTGAAATTGAGCTTGATTGAGCTCCAAATTGAGCTTGAAATTGAGCTTGATTGAGCCCCAAATTGAGCTTGAAATTGAGCTTGATAGCGCTCCAAATTGAGCTTGAAATTGAGCTTGATTGAGCTTCAAGTTGAGCTTGAAATTGAGCTGCAAATTGAGCTTGAAATTGAGCTTGAAATTGAGCTTGATTCAGCTTCAAGTTGAGCTTGATTGAGCTTGAAATTGAGCTTGAAATCGAGCTTGATGGAGCTTGCTTGAGCTTCAATTTCAGCTTGATTGAGCTTGAAATCGAGCTTGAAATTGAGCTTGATTGAGCTTGAGATTCTGCTTTTTGATTGAACTCCAAATTTCCAATTTATTCTTCAATTTCAGCGTTGGAAAGATTATCGAGAAAAGAAAAAGGAAGACGATGAAGAGATTCCGGTGGACGAGGTGAAAAGACGAAGAATGGAATTCGAAGAGAAACGAACGCTGAGCAAAATCGATGAACGGGTTGAGGAGGAGATGGGTGAGTAGCCAAAAATTGTCTAGATTTAGATTTAGATTGATTTTGGAAATTGTTTAGATCGCTCGCGTTAGACATTTCTTTTTCTTAGTTAAAGCAAAGCTTGAAACTTAGCGTTTCCTAACTTTGACAGTTTATAACTCGAGGCACAGACATTGAATCGACTTGTGGTTGGTTTTAAAAGAATTCTCATCAAATTTGACTAAAGAAAAGTGGAATTTGTTTTGCACACTACCTGTAAGAATATCCAGAAAAATTGTATCAAAGTTGACCTCCTTGCTTTCAGTCTCTGGGTGCAGAGGCTTGCCAGTTACTGACCATTGTGAATTCCCCAACTGGCTAGGATTTTGCCAGTTTGGAGTCATTCCCTAACGCGCAGGATTCTTGCCAGTTAGGGAAGCTCTAGTTAGGGTATTCCCCTGTAAGAATACCTAGAAAAATTGTGTCAAAGTTGACCTACTTACCTGCAAAAGTCGATCAACTTTGACGGTTTATAACTCAAGGTACAGACACTGAATCGACTTTTGGTTGGTTTTAAAAGAATCCTCATCAAATTTGACTAAAGAAAAGTGGAATTTGTTTTGCACACTACCTGTAAGAATATCCAGAAAAATTGTATCAAAGTTGACCTACTTACCTGCAAAAGTCGATCAACTTTGACGGTTTATAACTCGAGGTACAGGCATTGAATCGACTTGTGGTTGGTTTTAAAAGAATTCTCATTAAATTTGGCTATAGAAAAGTACAATTTATTTTGTATACTCATGTGTAAGAACATAGAGAAAATTTGGATCAAAGTTGACCTACTTACTTGCAAAAGTCGGTCAACTTTGACGGTTTATAACTCGAGGTTTCCCGGGGTCGCCAATCGATTCAAACTCATTCAAAATGCCCGCAATCCGGTCAAAAAGCTTGATGCAGATGCAGACTCGCAAATTTTTGATACAACCAAAGTTCCATGCCTTCTTGGTAACCTTTAAAATGTGATTTTCTCACGTACAGTACCCCTGGTGCGAATCAATTCGATCGGTAAGTTGGAGTCGAAAATTGGAGTCGAAAAACGAAACCCCCAGCTTTCACATCATTTTTTGGCTGTATTTTGGCTGATTTTGACTGATTTTGTCTCATTTTGTCCCATTTTGTCTCATTTTGTCTTATTTTTTGCAATTGGAATGAGAATTTGCAAATTTCCCATAAAAATCGATTTTTTCACAACAAAACGCAGGAATGAGGTCCAGTTTGAAAAATGAAATTAAAGAAAAATTTTTCTGCTTTCAGAATTTGTAAATTTTTGGAGCCGATCTCAAAAGAGTGAGCTCCAGATTGGGAAATCGAGTTCAGAATGAATGGCTCGAGTAAAAAGATCGAAGAGATTTTGTTTGCTGATCTCATTTCTGACTTGTTGTGAGAGGGATTGACTTTTGACTTTTGACTTTCAACTTTCATTGGAATTTCGAGAAAATTTCAGAGCAATTGGACTGTGTGACGCCGATTTTGGTGCGGAAAGCGTCGGAGGACATGATCCCCGTGCTGGTGCAAGATCGGCTCACGAGAGAAAACGGGAAAGTCGCGATCGGGAATGGCGACGGAACGGTGATGCGATCGAGGAAGAACACGGAGGAGATCGACACGCAGAGGTTGGCTGGGAGAATGCGGCCTGGGCACAGGTCCTAGGGGATGCTAGGGATGATCTAGCTGGGCCCTAAGATGCTAGGGATGCTCTAACTGGGCCCTAGGATGCTAGGAATGCTCTAACTGAGCCCTAGGATGCTAGGGATGCTCTAACTGGGCCCTAGGATGCTAGGGATGCTCTAACTGAGCCCTAGGATGCTTGGGATGCTCTAACTGGGCCCTGGGATGCTAGGGATGCTCTAACTGGGCCCTAGGATGCTAGGGATGCTCTAACTGAGCCCTGGGATGCTAGGGATGCTCTAACTGGGCCCTAGGATGCTAGGGATGCTCTAACTGAGCCCTAGGATGCTTGGGATGCTCTAACTGGGCCCTGGGATGCTAGGGATGCTCTAACTGAGCCCTAGGATGCTTGGGATGCTCTAACTGGGCCCTGGGATGCTAGGGATGCTCTAACTGAGCCCTAGGATGCTTGGGATGCTCTAACTGGGCCCTGGGATGCTAGGGATGCTCTAACTGGGCCCTAGAATGCTTGGGATGCTCTAACTGGGCCCTAGGATGCTTGGGATGCTCTAACTGGGCCCTGGGATGCTAGGGATGCTAGGGATGCTCTAACTGGGCCCTAGGATGCTAGGGATACTCTAGTTGGGCCCTAGGGTCTGTAAGCCTTATGCTGGCTAGGCCGGATTTCTTTTAGATGATCGTGCTTCGGCCTATGACCGGCTTCAATCCTTATTTAGTAGTGTAGCTCAAAAATCCACCCAAATACAGTAATTTTTCTAGAAAAGTGTGTGCTGCTATCCAGCTTGACTGATAGGCGTCTTTTGGAAAGTCTTGTAGTTAAGGAGGGTTCTTAAACTTGACCGAAGTCGAACGGCCGACATAATCAAATCTGGATTTCATGGAAATGCCCTCGAAACAAAGTAATTTTATAGTGTGACTTCCAGCTTGACTGATAAGGGTGTTTTGGAAAGTCTTGTACTTCGGAAAAGTTGCTAAACTTGACCGAAGTCGAACAGCATTCTCGCCCCCACCAAAGAAAAAGGTCGGGCGATAATGCAATGTAGGCGGAGGGACGGGGTGCTATAATGCAATACTCCCAAACAAAACTACTAAGTGATATTAAGTAAATGAGGTGTATTCTAGTGTTCTATTCTAGTGTTCTATTAAGTATTCTATTACTGTAAATACTGTACTAGTACCCCACCCGCCTCGTACAGTCGCGTAATCGCAAAAGTTTTTTCGTATTTCTTCAAAAAATGCGTCTTTGGTATCAAAAAATAGCTGAAATTCAGGGCTATTTTTTGATATTTAAACGCGCATTGTAGCATAAACCAGTGTCGAGAAACACTCGTTCAAAGCTAGACTACACAACACTCCGCACCGTCATTTTGGGGGTGGGGTACTAGTACAGTATTTAAGTATTTACGGTAAGTATTCTATTCTAGTATTCTCTTTTTCAATTCCGCTTACGGGTTTCATCCTAATATAGTATTTACGGTCAGCTGCAAGATGGGAATGAGCAAATCAAAACTTTTTGCTATTTATTTAATTTTTGGGTGATCTGGAACGCACAGCAAATTATGGGGTAAATAGAATAACGAAATTGGGAAAGGATAGGTTTTTGGAAAATAGTCCGAAGTTCTCGAGCTCTAATAGGCAAAATTGCCAGTGAAAAACCTCGTTTGCATTGATTTTTGACCGATCTGGAACGCACAGCAAACTATGGGACAAATAGAATAATGAAATTGGGAAAGGATAGATTTTTGGAAAATAGTCCGAAACTCTAGTAGCTTTAACCAGTAAAATTGCTAAAGAAAGATTTGTTTTTGTTTAATTTTTGAGCGATCTGGAACGCACAGCAAACTATGGGACAAATAGAATAACGAAATTGGGAAAGGATAGGTTTTTGGAAAATAGTCGGAAGTTCTCAAGCTCTAATAGCCAAAATTGCCAGTGAAAAACCTCGTTTGCATTGATTTTTGACCGATCTGGAACGCACAGCAAACTATGGGGCAAATAGAATAACGAAATTGGGAAAGGATAGGTTTTTGGAAAATAGTCCGAAACTCTAGTAGCTTTAACCAGTAGAATTGCTAAAGAAAGATTTGTTTTTGTTTAATTTTTGAGCGATCTGGAACGCACAGCAAACTATGGGGTAAATAGAATAACGAAATTGGGGAAGGATGAGTTTTTGGAAAATTGTCGGACGCGCTCATAGCTCTAATAAGCAAAATTGCCAATGAAAAACTTTGTTTGCATTGATTTTTGGTCGATCTGGAACGCACAGCAAACTATGGGGTAAATAGAATAACGAAATTTTGAAAGGATAGGTTTTTGGAAAATAGTCGGAAGTTCTCGAGCTCTAATAGCCAAAATTGCCAATGAGCCAAGCAAAGCAAAGCAAAGCAAAGCAAAGCAAATCAAAACTTTTGCTCTAATTAGAAGCCAGAAACTGTTCAGATTTTGATTTTTTGGGTCAGGTATGACCTTGTGACTAGAGCTGTGTGGTGAAGAAAATAAAATTCTTTCTTAAAAGTTATTGAGCAATGAGATTCTAAGTCAAACATAAACCAGTTTATCGAAAATTCTCTCAAAATCCTAGAGATCTCTCAAAATTCTAGAGAAACCCTCACCGAAACCGAAAGCGATAGCGAGGATTGGACGGATGATGAGCAGAATTTGAAACGGGGAAAACAAAAGAAGCAAAAAGTTGGGCAAAAATTGAGGAAATCTTTCAAAAAGCACTCTAGAAACCGAAAAAAGTCTCTTGGTTTCGTCGGAAAGTTCAAGCTTTCGTTGTCTGTGATCACTTCACACGGGGAATTCTCGTCGCCATCCTTGTCAACACGCTTTCCATGGGTGTTGAATATCATAATCAGGTGGGGAAACTGATTTCTGAGCGATCTGGAACGTCTGGAACGATTCTGGAACTTCTGGAATGGTTCTGTAACGTCTGGTACGATTCTGGAACGTCTGGAACGTCTGGAACGATTCTGGAACGTCTGGAACGATTCTGGAACGTCTAGAACGATTCTAGAACGTCTCGAACGATTCTGGAACGTCTAGAACGATTCTAGAACGTCTCGAACGATTCTGGAACGTCTCGAACGATTCTAGAACGTCTGGAACGATACTGGAAGGTCTAGAACGATTCTAGAACGTCTGGAACGGTTCTGAAACGTCTGGAACGGTTCTGAAGCGTCTGGAACGTCTGGAACCGTTTTGGAACATCTGGAACGATTCTGGAACGTCTGGAACGGTTTTGAAACGTCTGAGACGGTTCTGAAACGTCTGGAACGTCTGGAACAGTTTTGGAACGTCTGGAACGATTCTGGAACGTCTGGAACGGTTCTGAAACGTCTGGCACGGTTTTGAAACGTCTGAGACGGTTCTGAAACGTCTAGGACGGTTCTGAAGCGTCTAGGACGGTTCTGAAGCGTCTGGAACGATTCCAGAACGTCTGGAACGTCTGGAACGGTTCTGGAACGTCTGGAACGATTCCAGAACGTCTGGAACGACTCCAGAACGTCTGGAACGATTCCAGAACGTCTGGAACGATTCCAGAACGTCTGGAACGATTCCAGAACGTCTGGAACGATTCCAGAACGTCTGGAACGATTCCAGAACGTCTGGAACGATTCCAGAACGTCTGGAACGATTCCAGAACGTCTGGAACGTCTGGAACGGTTCTGGAACGTCTGGAACGATTCCAGAACGTCTGGAACGATTCCAGAACGTCTGGAACGATTCCAGAACGTCTGGAACGATTCCAGAACGTCTGGAACGATTCCAGAACGTCTGGAACGTCTGGAACGGTTGTGGAACGTCTGGAACGATTCCAGAACGTCTGGAACGATTTCTGAGCAATCATCACCCATTTGCGCCCCATAAAAAACCCCAATTTCAGCCAGAATGGCTGACGACGGTTCTCGAGTATTCGAATTATTTCTTCACGGGTCTTTTCGCCTTCGAAATGCTATTGAAAATCATTGCCGACGGCCTTTTCAAATATCTTTCTGACGGGTTCAACCTTTTCGATGGTGGAATCGTGGCATTGAGGTGAGTTGGCTTCAAAAAAATGACTCATCTGACGTAAAGAGGAAAGGGCACTAAGTCGGCTCCGTTTTTGGCGTCACTATGCTCAAATTTTTCGTTTACAAGAAGTTTTGAGCGATCTGGAACGCACAGTAGCTAGTGTACTCAAAAAGTAAAAGATATTCTCAGCTTTGCATTTTTTCCCAAAAACCAACTCATCATTTCAGTGTTGTCGAGCTTTTCCAAGAGGGCAAAGGCGGATTATCGGTTTTGCGAACGTTTCGCCTGCTGCGTATCCTCAAATTGGTTCGTTTCATGCCGGCACTTCGATATCAATTGATGGTGATGCTGAAAACGATGGACAATGTCACCGTTTTCTTCGGGCTACTCATTTTGTTCATTTTCATCTTCAGGTTTGTTATTTATTTAACAATTTAACAATCTAACCAAATGAAAAACTGATCTTGAATTCTGTTTGTCGGATTCTGATGGTCGGATTCTGATTCTCTGATTCTGATCGTCTGATTCTGATGGTCTGATTCTGATAGTCGGATTCTGATGCTCTGATTCTGATTGTCTGATTCTGATAATCTGATTCTGATGCTCTGATTCTGATGGCCGGATTCTGATCGTCTGATTCTGATGCTCTGATTCTGATTGTCTGATTCTGATGCTCTAATTCTGATGCTCTGATTCTGATAGTCTGATTTCGATTGTCTGATTCTGATTGTCTGATTCTGATTGTCTGATTCTGATGCTCTGATTCTGATAGTCTGATTTCGATTGTCTGATTCTGATGCTCTGATTCTGATGGTCTGATTCTGATAGTCAGATTCTGATGCTCTGATTCTGATGCTCTGATTCTGATGCTCTGATTCTGATGCTCTGATTCTGATGCTCTGATTCTGATGCTCTGATTCTGATGCTCTGATTCTGATAGTCTGATTTCGATTGTCTGATTCTGATGCTCTGATTCTGATGGTCTGATTCTGATAGTCAGATTCTGATGCTCTGATTCTGATGCTCTGATTCTGATGCTCTGATTCTGATGCTCTGATTCTGATGCTCTGATTCTGATGCTCTGATTCTGATCCTCTGATTCTGATGCTTCTGATAATCATCTTTCCACCGTAACACTGAGAAAACTCTGAACTAAAACTTTTCTTCAATCTTGACTCACCGAAATTAAACCAAATGACTCGCTTGTCCTTGAATCCGTTTCCCCTAAACGAACTCTTCTCTTTTTCTACCGTAATCCTGTCTCCATTTTTATCGCTGATTGCAAATCTGCAATCGAATGAACCGCGCGAGGCCTCTGCCTATTCAATGAATTTCAAAAATGCGGAGAATTCGTAAAAATCTGCTAAAACTAAAGCTAAAAACTCTCCTTTTAACTAACTCTTTTCCCCATTTGCAGTATTCTCGGCATGAACCTGTTCGGGTGTAAATTCTGCAAGATCGAGACGCGCAAGGATCGACCGATGCCGTGGAAGAAATGCGAGCGCAAGAATTTCGACTCACTCCTCTGGGCGCTCATCACCGTTTTTCAGGTGGGTTACGGTAGTTTTCGGGGGATTTCTCTTGCACGAGCACGTTTCTGCATGTCATTTATGAGATTTCGACAAAATTCATCAACTTTGGCGAATCTGGAGCGCAGTACACTTATTGGACGTGTCTAGAATCCTACAAGCTTACCGTGGCTCCTGCTTTACTTGCATGAGCACGTTTGTACCTGCCGTTCGCAAGATTTTCAGAAAATTTGCTACTTTTTGGCGAATCTGGAGCACAGTGCGCTTATTGAAGTGATTTTTGGCTTACTGTAGCGAAATTTCGGAGTACTTGGCCATTTGCTAAAAAGCACTAACTTTAAAATCGAAAATTTATGTCTGAAAACGCATTCAATCGCTTACCTGCGTTCCAGATTAGCCAAAATTGGGCAAAAAATTTTAGGTTACCATCATTTTGTTCGTTTTTTGTTGTCAAAGTCGTTTGCTAAAAAGCACTAACTTTAAAATTAAAAACTTTTGCTTAAAAACGCTTTCAATCGCTGTCCTGCGTTCCAGATTAGCCAAAACTGGGCAAAAAATTTTAGGTTACTGTCATTTTGTTGGTTTTTTGTTGTCAAAGTCATTTGCTAAATGGCACTAAGTTTAAAATTGAAAATTTATGTTTAAAAACGCTTTCAATCACTTACCTGCGTTCCAGATTAGCCAAAACTGGGCAAAAAATTTTAGGTTACGGTCGTTTTGTCCGTTTTTTGTTGTCAAAGTCATTTCCTAAAAAGCACTAACTTTAAAATTGAAAATTTATGCCTGAAAACGCTTTCAATGGCTGTCCTGCGTTCCAGATTAGCCAAAACTGGGCAAAAAGTTTTAGGTTACTGTTGTTTTGTCTATTTTTTTGTTACCGTAGTCATTCAGCACAATGGGCATGGTGTTTTTCGGCGGGAAATTTTGCAATCACAAAGAGACTGGCTTACAATGCAATTGTAAGCAAATCGCCGCCGGGGATTGTGATTGCGATCGAATGAATTTCGACACGTTTCTGTGGGCCGTCGTCACCGTTTTTCAGGTTACTGTAGCTTCCTAGGGTTACTGTAGACTTGATGCGCTTTAAAAACAGATCCATTAACTGCAGCACCCTAGTTACTGTAGTTTATAGGATTCCTAGGCGTTTTTGAAGCCTAAGCCTAAGCCTAAGCGATAAGTCTACCCGGACTAAGGTTACTGTAGCTTTAGGCTACAGTAACCTTTAGGCTACAGTAACTCTTTAAAAAGTGCATCTTCCTATAAACATCAACTCCAGCTTTTTCCACCCTTAAAATTTTCGTTGTGACTTCCAGAATGTACATTTCTTTTGTCAAATTCGTAAACCCGTGGTTGCTTTTAATTTTTTTGAGCACTCAAAGCTTTATGTTGTAAATCTGGAGTGTTTCCTTAGTTTTTCTAAGTTTGCATGGGTTAAATAATCGTCTTTTGAATCAAATGCTTTCCAGATTTTGACCCAAGAAGACTGGAATATGGTTTTGTTCAATGGGATGTCCCAAACGACTCCCTGGGCTGCGCTGTACTTTGTGGCGCTGATGACTTTCGGGAATTATGTTTTATTCAATTTACTCGTCGCCATTTTGGTCGAGGGTTTCCAGGAGAGCAAAGAAGAAGAAAAGAGGCAATTGGTGAGGAATTCGACTAGAAATGGATACTGTGGAGTTAAAAATCAAGGCTGATAGATAAACAAGGCTGGCTACTAGGCTCTTAGACAGATCTGCTCTTGCCTTATCCTGTTTTGACCCATAAACTGCCTAGAAATAAGCCTGACAGTCACCCCAAAGCCAATGCTCAGGGTTGTAGAAGGTAAAACTCAGAAACCGGGGGTTTTCTAGAATCGGGCTAGGCCTTAGTCAAGCTAGAAGCTAGATTTGATTTGGTTGGCCTGGCTTGGCTGACTGACCTAGCTGACCTAGCTGACCTGGCTGACCTAGCTGACCTGGCTGACCTAGCTGACCTGGCTGACCTAGCTGGCCTGGCTGATCTAGCTGGCCTGGCTGACCTGGCTGACCTGGCTGACCTAGCTGGCCTGGCTAACCTAGCTGACCTAGCTGACCTGGCTGATCTAGCTGGCCTGGCTGATCTAGCTGATCTAGCTGACCTGGCTGACCTAGCTGACCTGGCTGACCTAGCTGGCCTGGCTGATCTAGCTGGCCTGGCTGACCTGGCTGACCTGGCTGACCTAGCTGGCCTGGCTAACCTAGCTGACCTGGCTGATCTAGCTGGCCTGGCTGATCTAGCTGGCCTGGCTGATCTAGCTGACCTGGCTGACCTAGCTGACCTGGCTGACCTAGCTGGCCTAGCTGGCCTGGCCTGGTTCAGTCACATTCCCCTGTAAGGACCCAAGCCTGGGTCTACAATAAACCTAGACCAGCTTCTAGATCAAAGATGGTAGGGTGGAAGATTCCTGAGAACCCGGGATCGGCCTTGTTTGGCTCAAAGACACCGATTTGAATATCCATGCCCAACCCTGAACCGGTCTGGCCTCCATCCCGCCTACAGCCAGCTTACAAACCTCAATAAAAATCAACATTAAGGAAGAAGAGGCTCGAAAAAACGCAATTCAAGAGGAAGACGAGCGGAAAAGAGAGTTGGAGATTCTGCTGGCGAGGACAACATCCTCGCAATTCCTCGCCGCTCATCCTCGGGGTTCCATCGATTGCACTTGTCCATCAACTGATCCCCAACATTCTCCATCACATGATGTAAGTGCTGAAAAGAATTCGACTATTCTAGAACTACAGCCAGCTGTACAAAGTCTGGCGACTTTTAATGTATCTGGAACATTTCCCAGATACGGTAAAAGTATCTGGGAAATGTCTTTTATTTCAAAAGTGGCAAGTGTTCTGTAGAGAATTGTAGCCTTAGTTCTTGGCTATATTTATGTATTGAAAAGTTTCCCGATTAGACTTAACAAGCGTTTGAATGAACGCCAATCGGCATCTCTCTCGAATCTGTCATTTGGCGGCTTCTCGAATCCGTCATTTGACCGCTTCTCGAAGTCAATACTCAATTTTCACCTTTTTCCTTGCTCCTCGAAAAGGAGCTTGACATGAAAAAGGCGAAAATTGAGTATTGACTTCGAGAAGCGGTCAAATGACGGATTCAACTTAAATTTTTGTTATGCCAGCTCAGCGAAAACAGCTAAGTGTGGTTCTTAATGCGATTCTTAATGCCATTCTTAATACCATTCTTAATACCATTCTTAATGCCATTCTTAATGCTATTCTTAATGCTATTCTTAATGCTATTCTTAATGCTATTCTTAATCCTATTCTTAATACCATTCTTAATGCTATTCTTAATACCATCCTTAATGCTATTCTTAATACCATTCTTAATGCTATTCTTAATGCCATTCTTAATGCCATTCTTAATACCATTCTTAATGCTATTCTTAATGCTATTCTTAATGCTATTCTTAATGCTATTCATAAGGCTATTCTTAATGCTATTCATAAGGCTATTCTTAATCCTATCCTCAATACCATTCTTAATCCTATTCTCAATACCATTCTTAATACCATTCTTAATACCATTCTTAATGCTATTCTTAATGCTTAATGCTTAAGAGATGTTGAACGCTATTTTTGCATTAAAGAAATATTGAAAAACCTTTTTAAACAATTTTTTATAGAGAAAAGCGGTCAAATGACAGATTCGCTGGAGAGAATTCGACTAGCATTCATTCAAACGTATTCAAATGATTTGTATAAGTCGAATCGGGGAGTCTTTCCAATCGGGGACTTTCAAAAGCTCCAGTCTACCGGCAAAGTCTACAATTATAGGGCAAAGTCTTCAATTGTAGAGCAAAGTCTACAATTGTAGGGCAAAATTTTACAATGCTTAATGAGAATTTGAACATTTACAAGGTAAAATGCCAACTTTGACTTAAACTCAAAGAAATCTTTTCTTTCTTTTCTTTGAGAAAACAAACCGAATCTTTTCTTCTAGATGTTCGGCGGATTCCATTCGAATCGCCTTGGCGTCGGTGAGATGAACGGTGGAACGGAAATGGTGCCGATTGTGGCGAGAACGAGAGTCATCGGACACGGGCCACCCGAAAGCGATTCCGATGAAGAGGAGATGAATCTCGAGAAACGGCAGAACAGGTAGGATTGGGAATTCATTGATCTTAATACTAGAATTTGAAGCCTGAGTCTGAGCCTGAGCCTGAGCCTGAGTCTGAGTCTGGGCCTGAGCCTGAGCCTAAGCCTGAGTCTGAGTCTGAGTCTGAGCCTGAGCCTAAGCCTAAGCCTGAGCCTAAGCCTAAGCCAGAGCCATACCCAGAGCCTGAGCCTAAGCCTAAGCCTGAGCCTAAGCCTGAGCCTAAGCCTGAGCCTGAGCCTGAGCCGGAGCATGAGCCTGAGTCTGAGTCTGGCCCTGAGCCTGAGCCTGAGCTCCAGAAAGCCCAAAAATTATCAAAAGTTTTAGGATGAATCGTCACGGCTCGCTGGCGCTGCCGAGGCTCGTCTCTGGAGCACAGGTACTCGCAAAAATTCTTGGATTTGTGAAAAGTCATAAGAAACCTCAATCCAGTGTTAATCCTGACATCCAAAATGGACAAATACAGACTTTCGTGTCTACTTCTAACTTTGAAAACGAATTTCAAGACTTATACTGAATCCCAGCTACCAGAGTGCTAGATTTTCGTAAATTTTTAGCGATTTCAGTGCCATTCTGTGTCCTGACATCCAGGATGGCTGGATATCGCAAAAATTTCGGATTCAGGTTTCTCCCCGGGGCCGCCAACGTCTCCACTCGTGGGGCGGCCTCCACCACGCACTCTTCAATCCGAATTGCCCCGTGCACGGAAGAAGGGCACTCGTCGAGGAGTACGCAAGAGAAAAATTCATTCAGGTGACTCTAGTTAAAGAAAAACTCTAGTTTCCATGCGCCAGAAGGGATGCGTTTAGGCAAAATTCACGAACCGAAAGATTTTGATTGAAAAAAATCGCTTTTCTAACGGTAATCGAAATCTTTTCCACTGGATTCGCTCAGCCGGCAGCTGAGCCGACAGCTGAGCCGGCAGCAGAGCCGACAGCTGAGCCGGCAGCAGAGCTGGCAGCTGAGCCGGCAGCAGAGCCGGCAGCAGAGCCGGCAGCTGAGCCGACTATGTTGTTAAATTCGAATTTAGCGCGATTTTGCATCTTGTCAAAACTGTGTGACCTCCAGAATAGCTATCAAAACCCAAAAAAATGAATCCCCAGCTATTTAAACGAATACTATTCAAGTGTGACTTCCAGAATAACCATTAAACCCAAAAAACTTGAGTATCCAGCTATTTAATTCAATACTATTCAAGTGTGACCTCCAAAATGACAATTGCCCTCAAAAATTCCACATTTTCGCTTATAGATTCGAGAGGAAGAGCTCTTGGTAACGTTTTGATTCGAAATCCACCTTGTTTTCTATCTTTTTTTTCGAATTTTCGTATTTTCGAATTTTTCTTAAATCCCATTCTTTTTACTGTCACCCAAAACGCTAAAAAAATGGCACTTTTTATTTTCCCAAACACATAAATAACAAAATAGCTTAAGGATTAGTGTAAAAAATTTTTCTTTAGGCAAGTCAAGAGCTGAAACAAGCGCTGGCTGAAGAAGAAAAGAGAGAAGAAGAGAAGCAGAACTCGACGATCAGGAAATTGCTGAAGAAAACCTGCCTCAACACAAGAGCCGATCACTCATTGTTTTGCTTGGGGCCGAAGAATACGATTAGGATACGGTGGGTTAAAGTTAAAGATTAGGTCGTCCAGGTTACTGTAAGACTGCAGCTCGTCTAGGTTACTGTAATTCTGCAGCTCGTCTAGGCTATTGTAATTCTGCAGCTCGTCTAGGTTACTGTAATTCTACAGCTCGTCTAGGTTACTGTAAGTCTGCAGCTCGTCCAGGTTACTGTAATTCTGCAGCTCGTCTAGGCTATTGTAATTCTGCAGCTCGTCTAGGTTACTGTAATTCTACAGCTCGTCTAGGTTACTGTAAGTCTGCAGCTCGTCCAGACTACTGTAATTCTGCGGCTCGTCTAGGTTACTGTGAGTCTGCAGCTCGTCTAGGTTACTGTAAGTCTGCAGCTCGTCTAGGCTATTGTAATTCTGCAGCTCGTCCAGACTACTGTAATTCTGCGGCTCGTCTAGGTTACTGTGAGTCTGCAGCTCGTCTAGGTTACTGTAAGTCTGCAGCTCGTCTAGGTTACTGTAATTCTACAGCTCGTCCAGGCTACTGTAATTCTGCGGCTCGTCTAGGTTACTGTAATTCTACAGCTCGTCTAGGTTACTGTAAGTCTGCAGCTCGTCCAGGTTACTGTAATTCTGCAGCTCGTCTGGGTTACTATAATTCTGCAGCTCGTCTAGGTTACTGTAAGTCTGCAGCTCGTCTAGGTTACTGTAAGTCTGCAGCTCGTCTAGGTTACTGTAAGTCTGCAGCTCTTGTCCCCTCCCCTGCAGGGAGTGTGGGGAGTTATTTTTGGACAGACTGCCAGACAAGCTGGGACACATCGGCGAGCGTGTTTCATTGGTTGGAAGCCGAGGCCACCCATCTGATTGGAGAGCACTTCTGGGGACGCACGCGACAGAAGGTTTAGCCATTTCTTGCCTGCAGCCTTGAGCTTCTTGTCGAAGTCGGTCAGGGGCTTCTGCGGGACGATACCGTTCTTGAGATGGAAGGCGATGCACGGTAGGACGAACGTGTTGACCGCATCACTTTCCTCTCCAATACCAGACTGCAGGGAGTTATTTTTTCTCTCCCTACAGCCGGGGAGGGAAAAAATCACTCTCTGTATATTTTTCCCGGCAGGGCGGGAGGCTTTTATATTTTCCTCCCCTGCAGGCGGGCTTCAATTACAGTACTATTTACGGTAGGTGACTGTAATTCCGTCTTCACTACGGTAGATCGGATAACGGTGATTTAAGATCATTCGGTCACAAATCTAGTACATTTTGGATTTTGGGATACTGTAGATCTGTTCACAGGCAGTTTTCAGGCTTTGGGGTACTGTAGAAGAAGGCGGATTGAGACAAAAAAGTACTAGATCGTAGTGCTTTTTTATCTTAGGATACTGTCGACTTTTTCATAACTTGAAACCAAATTTGATGATATTTTGAACCAAATTTGATGATATTTTGAGCCAAATTTTGATGATGATTTAATCTAAATTCATTTTAGCTGCCTGAAACTGACTCAGAAGAAATGGTTCGATTACACGATTCTGTTCATGATCGGCATCAATTGTATCACTCTGGCAATGGAAAGGCCATCGATTCCACCACAATCGATTGAGCGGAGATTCTTGAACGTCTCTGGATACATTTTTACGATCATCTTCAGTGTCGAGATGCTTCTGAAGGTGAGTGTGATAGCACAGAGTTGAGAAGGAGTCTAATACCAGACTGAGCCTTTTCGGCCAGCCAGACGCAGCCAGAAAGGCTTCAGCCAGGAAGGCTTCAGCCAGGAAGGTTTCAGCCAGAAAGGCTTCAGGCTTCAGCCTTCAGCCAGGAAGGCTTCAGCCAGGAAGGCTTCAGCCAGGAAGGCTTCAGCCAGAAAGGCTTCAGGCTTCAGCCAGGAAGGCTTCAGCCAGGAAGGCTTCAGGCTTCAGCCAGGAAGGTTTCAGCCAGAAAGGCTTCAGGCTTCAGCCTTCAGCCAGGAAGGCTTCAGCCAGGAAGGCTTCAGCCAGGAAGGCTTCAGCCAGAAAGGCTTCAGGCTTCAGCCTTCAGCCAGGAAGGCTTCAGCCAGGAAGGCTTCAGCCAGGAAGGCTTCAGCCAGGAAGGTTTCAGCCAGAAAGGCTTCAGGCTTCAGCCTTCAGCCAGGAAGGCTTCAGCCAGGAAGGCTTCAGCCAGAAAGGCTTCAGGCTTCAGCCAGGAAGGCTTCAGCCAGGAAGGCTTCAGGCTTCAGCCAGGAAGGTTTCAGCCAGAAAGGCTTCAGGCTTCAGCCTTCAGCCAGGAAGGCTTCAGCCAGGAAGGCTTCAGCCAGGAAGGCTTCAGCCAGAAAGGCTTCAGGCTTCAGCCTTCAGCCAGGAAGGCTTCAGCCAGGAAGGCTTCAGCCAGGAAGGCTTCAGCCAGGAAGGCTTCAGCCTCCAGCCAATCTTGACCTAATCCTGAAACTAGGCTACACTAACACCCATTTTTATCAAAAAAGCTGGCAAGTGCAGACCTTAACTGACCGGGTTTTGATCTAGTTTTCTAAGTTGGCTCAGTTAGAATCTTCTAAACGGCTTTAGAAGATTCTAACTGTACTTGAGAACTGCTTTTTGAACTAACCTTGAGCCTAACATTTTTCCAACAGCGAATTTTTTTTTTCAAAAATTGCAGGGTGTTTGTTGGTGGGAAAACCGTAAAATTCGTTAAAAATGACTATTTTTATCTTTCAGGTTGTCGCAAACGGGTGCTTTTTTGGTCGTGGTGCGTATTTTAAAGACGGATGGAATATCCTGGACGGGATTCTCGTCGTCATCTCGCTCGTCAACATTCTCTTCGAGTTTATCGCAAGTGGTGGTTGGTAAAAAGTGAAAGGGATTACAATTTAGACATCGTACAATAAATTACAATCTACAATTTACAATTTAAACACGACAAACGACAAAAATGACAAACAGTCGAACTCTAAACACTACAAACTACAAACTACTGTAACTTTCCTTAAATCTATCGGATTGAGACGATCTATAGCTCAAAAGATAGAGCGTCTCAAGAGCTTTCAAATGAACTAAAGCAGACTGAAAAATATGGATCCTAAAGAAAGTTACAGTAGTTTGTAGTCTGACGGACTGTACCCGAGCGAGTCCGAATACAAACTACGGTAGCCCTCTTTAAATCTATCGGATTAAGAAGATCTATAGCTCAAAAAATAGAGAATTTCAAGAGGTTTTGAATGTTTTAAAGTACACCCAAAAATATAAAAGCTATAGGAAGTTAGTACCCAAGCAGACTACAAACTACTGTAACTTTCTTTAAATTTATCGAATTGAGACGATCTATAGCTCAAAAGATAGAGAATTTCAAGGGCTTTCGAATGGATTAACGCACACCAAGAAATATAAATTCTAAAGAGAGCTACCGTAGTTTGTAGTCTGACGGACTGTACCCAAGCAAGTCAGGCTACAAACTACGGTAGCCCTCTTTAGAATCTATGTTTCTCAGTGTGCTCTTGCTCTTGAAGCTCTTGAAGCTCAAGCTCTTGAAATTCTCTATCTTTTAAGCTATAGATCGTCTCAATCCGATAGATTTAAGGAAAGTTACAGTAGTTTGTAGTCTGACTCGCTTGGGTACGGTCCGTCAGACTACAACCTACTGTAACTTTCTTTAGAATTGATGTTTCTCAGTGTGCTTTAATCCATTCGAAAGCTCTTAAAATTCTCTATCTTTTAAGCTATAGATCTTCTCAATCCGATAGCTTTAAAGCAAGTTAGAAGCGTTTATAGTTCACGTTTGTAGTTTCTAGTGTTTCTGTTACAATTCATTCATTCATCCGTTCAATTTAGAGTAAATCCTCCAATCCACGCATCGGTGCATTCACTTAATCCCTTATTTTAAAAGATTTCTCTCAGCTTTTCGCACCAAACGGGAACTTTCCGCCGATCTGGAACTCATTTTTGCTCAAAAAAACTCATTTTTGCGAATTCTGGAGCGCACAATAGAGAATTTTTGCAGAATTTCCGGAATTTAAATCGTTTTTCAAGAAAGCTTCTGATCTCCAGAGCTCCGGAGCTCCAGATCGGCCGAATTGACGAATTCTTGCACAGCTTCTTCGAACTTTTCCCCAAAAATTAACCCGTCAAGAGTTCCGCGTCAAAAATTTGAAAATAACATGTCGATTTTGGTTTTAAATAGGTTTGAAATGTTTGAAATGGAATGTTTTCTTTAAAACACTACCAGATTTTCGATTTACAACGCGATTTTTATAGGTCCATGTGATTCTGAAACAAAAAAATCGGCACTGATCAGGAAATTTCTTAGTCAAATTCTTGATGAAGTGCTCAATTTTGCTCAAACAGAGTCCCATGTGGCCAATTTTAACAATTCTGTGGCCAATTTCTGGCCAATTTGTGGCCAATTTGTACCATTTTAACGAAAAACTTTAGATTCTCCGAAGATTTTCGGTGTCATTCGAGTGCTGAGGTTGTTGAGAGCGCTGAGGCCACTCCGAGTCATCAACCGGGCGCCCGGCGTCAAGGTGAGCCATTGTTTTACTTGAAACGCGGCTAAACTGAGAGAACAGTGCGATCCGGCTTCTATCTGGCTAATTAAAACCCTTTCAGCTAGTTGTGATGACGCTGATTTCCTCTCTAAAACCCATCGGCAACATCGTGCTCATTTGCTGCACTTTTTTCATCATTTTCGGCATTCTCGGCGTGCAATTGTTCAAGGTTGACTCTTTAGATTTAAAGGCTACCATTCAACGGCTCTCAGAGGCTCTCATAGGCTCTCAGAGGCTTTCAGAGGCTCTCAGGGGCTCTCAAAGGCTCTCAGAGGTTCTCAGAGGTTCTCAGAGGCTCTCAGAGGTTCTCAGAGGCTCTCAGGGGCTCTCCAAGGCTCTCAAAGGTCCTCAGAGGCTCTCAGAGGATCTTAGAGGCTCTCAGGGGCTCTCAAAGGCTCTCAGAGGTTCTCAGAGGTTCTCAGAGGCTCTCAGAGGTTCTCAGAGGCTCTCAGGGGCTCTCAAAGGCTCTCAGAGGTTCTCAGAGGCTCTCAGGGGCTCTCAAAGGCTCTCAGAGGTTCTCAGAGGTTCTCAGAGGCTCTCAGAGGTTCTCAGAGGCTCTCAGGGGCTCTCCAAGGCTCTCAAAGGTCCTCAGAGGTTCTCAGAGGCTCTCAGAGGTTCTCAGAGGTTCTCAGAGGCTCTCAAAGGCTCTCAGAGGTTCTCAGAGGCTCTCAGAACATTCGAAACCTCCATTTTATTCGAATCACATTCGAACAACCTCCATTTTTAGGGCATGATGCACCACTGTGTGGGCCCCGAGATCGGCAATGTGACGACGAAAATTGAGTGCAAGAGTGATGCGCGGAATAAATGGGTAAACCATCGATACAATTTCGACAATTTGGGCCAAGCGCTGATGTCACTTTTCGTCCTTTCAAGCAAAGATGGCTGGGTGTCGATCATGTATCAGGGAATCGATGCGGTCGGCGTTGATGTGCAGGTGAGGGATTTAGGAGAAAGTCTTGGGAAATGGGTAACGATTTTTGGGAAATTCGAGACGCGCCGCGATCCTTTTGCTATTGGCAAACTAACTTTTGCCATTCGCAATCTATTCCCCGCCAACTTTTGCCCCGCCTTTGGCCTTCGCTCGCGCGTATAAAAGGTCCGTCGCCCCGCCCCTTTTGCCATTGGCAATGTAACTTTGAGTTCTAATTTCTTGAGGTTGGGGTTTCCAATTTAAATGGTTTTTGTACAAATCGATAGAGAAAGACTTGGTGCATCTAATGATACCAAGAATATTGCAATTGGACAGGTCTACACCAAGATATTTGAGCTCAAAGTTGTATTGGCAAAAGGGGCGGGGGCTTGTATATAAGGAGCGTCTGGCTCTTTTGCCAGCAATTAGTCGACAAAGAAAGACTTGGCGCATCCAATGATACCAAGAATATTGAAATTGGACAACTCAGCACCAAGATATTCGAGCTCAAAGTTGTATTGGCAAAAAGGGGCGGGGCTTGTATATAAGGAGCGTCTGGCTCTTTTGCCAGCAATTAATCGACAAAGAAAGACTTGGCGCATCCAATGATACCAAGAATATTGCAATTGGACAGCTCTACACCAAGATATTTGAGCTCAAAGTTGTATTGGCAAAAAGGGGCGGGGCTTGTATATAAGGAAAGCCTAGTTCTTGATGTTGGGTTATCCAAATCAAATATTTTTTGTATCAATTGACCAAAAAAGACTTGACGCATCTAATGATAACAAAAATATTGCAATTGAACAACCCAACGCCAAGAAATTTGAGGCTCAAAGTTGGATTGCCAATTGCTGAAGGTGCGGGGCGCATTTCAAATGTCCGATAACCATTTCAAATGTCCTATAACAGCACAAAACAAGTGGATAGATTGGACAGAAAAATGGAGACAAAATTACGGTAGAAAGGGGTAAGGGGAAACGGTTTAGAAAATGGTTTAGATGAGCTCTGATCCTCAACGAATCTCTGACTCATTTCAGCCAATCGAGAACTATAACGAGTGGCGCATGATCTATTTCATCTCATTTCTCCTACTCGTCGGTTTCTTCGTCTTGAATATGTTCGTCGGAGTGGTTGTCGAGAATTTTCACAAATGCAAAGAGGCGCTGGAGCGGGAGATCAAAGAAAAGGAGCGCGAGAAGAGGATACAGGTATTTGAGGATAAAGAACAAACGCCTAACTGTGTGCGCCTAACTGTGTGCGCCTAACTGTGTGCGCCTAGCTGTGTGCGCCTAGCGTGCGTGCGCCTAACTGTGTGCGCCTAGCGTGCGTGCGCCTAACTGTGTGCGCCTAACGTGCGTGCGCCTAGCGTGCAGGTATCGATTTGAGGATAAAGAACAAACGCCTAACTGTGTGCGCCTAACGTGTGTGCGCCTAACGTGTGTGCGCCTAACGTGTGTGCGCCTAACGTGCGTGCGCCTAGCGTGCGTGCGCCTAGCGTGCGTGCGCCTAGCGTGCGTGCGCCTAGCGTGCGTGCGCCTAGCGTGCGTGCGCCTAGCGTGCGTGCGCCTAGCGTGCGTGCGCCTAGCGTGCGTGCGCCTAGCGTGCGTGCGCCTAGCGTGCGTGCGCCTAACTGTGTGCGCAAAACTGTGTGCGCCTAGCGTGCGTGCGCAAAAACAAACGTGCGCAAACTTGCGTTAAAATGTGCGCAGAATTACATTATCTAGGCAGTAATTACATTTACAATATACCAAGAGCTCTTTCTTTCGAATCTATAAACGAAATGTGGAATTTTTGGTCATTCTGGAGGTCACACTTGAATAATATTCGGTTAAATAACTGAATACTCAATTTTTTTGGGTTTAATGGTTATTCTGGAGGTCACACTCGAGCAATATTCAATCAGATGTCTGTTTCTAGGGAGTTTTATTTTTGACTAGGTTTAAATTTGCATATGACAGGAAAATCGGTTGAGCTGCACTCCAGAATGATCGAATTTCTTGAAAATTTCAAATCCAAGAACTCACGGTTGAAAAAACTATGGAAAAAGCAGCGTAGGGAAAAATTTTTGAGCCGAAAACTACAGTAATGCGTTTTTGAATGATAGTAGGCTGGTTTTGAATGATAGTAGCCTGTTTTTGAATGATAGTAGCCGGTTTTGAATGATAGTAGCCTGTTTTTGAATGATAGTAGGCTGTTTTTGAATGATAGTAGCCTGTTTTTGAATGATAGTAGCCTGTTTTTGAATGATAGTAGGCTGGTTTTGAATGATAGTAGCCTGTTTTTGAACAATAGGGGCCCGTTTCACGATTTTTGAGCCGAAAACTACAGTAATCCGTTTTTGAATGATAGTAGCCTATTTTGAAGGATAGTAGCCTATTTTGAATGCTACTAGCCCGTTTCACGAATTCTTCCCATAGTCCCTCCATAAACTATTAAAAAGTAAACTCTTAAGCTATTCAAAAGTTGAATTTCCAGAGAAAACTGAAACGAGCTCAATTCGAGGAATGCATGGCGAATCGAAAAAAGAAACGTAAGAAAAGAGGAATTCCCGAAAATCATCATCGAAAATGACATTTAGCTGAAAAAACGCATCCTTATTGGTACAACTATGGTGGCACTCGTCTATTTCTGCACGGAATCGTCACCTCGAAATATTTCGATCTAGCAATCGCCGCTGTGATTGGAATCAACGTCATCTCGATGGCCATGGAATTCTACATGATGCCTCATGGGTTGAAATATGTGCTGAAGGTGGGGAATTCTTGGGGTAAAGATGGGAATTCTTCGGGTAAAGTGTCAGAGTCAGCGCTCTCGTATCCAGCGCTCTTACTCTCGTACAATAAGAGAACCGTGCTTCCTCTCGTCTTGGGGAACCGTTCTTTGTCTTGAACCTGTTTTCAACCATTTCCAGAAGCCCTATTTAGCCTCTTACTACCTATAGACACTTTAGAACACTTAAAAATTGCTTTTAGTGATTTAACAAAAAAGCAAAAAGGTTTTGACGGTGAAGGGATTCGAACCAGAGACTATTGGCTCAAGGGGAAAACGCATTAACCACTACACCATCCCGGCATCTGTCAGGGGAAGTAATTCTCGCCCATATCGCGGCGGCTCCATTTTTCCAAAAAGGCCAATTTCGCCAAACAGCAAGTTAGCCTATTTAATGGGTTGTCGCGAGGGAAACGGTGTGCATCTGTAGCCTAGTGGATAGTGTGTTAGTGCGTCAGTCCGTTCATCAGCCCGACTTGTCCCTGGTTCGAGTCCTCTCGCTGTCAAAACTTTTTGGCTTTCTTCTTTTGATTAAAACTTTTGATTAAGCCATTAAAAATTGATTTTTAAGTGGTTTAAAGCCTTGAAAAAGACTAATTAAGAATATTAGACCCGTAAGAACTGAAATGAAAACTGAAATGACAGCCAAATTGGAACCAAATTGGAACCAAATTGGAGCAAATTGGAGCCAAATTGGAACCAAATTGGAATCAAATTGGAACTAAATTGGAGCAAATTGGAGCCAAATTGGAACCAAATTGGAATCAAATTGGAGCCAAATTGGAACAAATTGGAACCAAATTGGAGCAAATTGGAGCCAAATTGGAACCAAATTGGAACCAAATTGGAACCAAATTGGAACCAAATTGGAGCAAATTGGAGCCAAATTGGAGCCAAATTGGAACCAAATTTGAGCCAAATTGGAACTAAATTGGAACAAATTGGAGCAAATTGGAACCAAATTGGAACTAAATTGGCCCTTGGTTTAATGATCTGGTTCTGAAATCGTTTTTGAAACTTGAGGACTAAAATTCAGGATTCAGAGAGAAAAATCTTGTTGGTTTTTAGGCTCTGAACTACTTCTTTACCGCCGTTTTCACCCTCGAGTCAGCGATGAAGCTGATGACGCTCGGCGTGAAGAGATTTATGGCTGAAAGGTTTGTGAGAACAAGCTCCGCAATCAAAAACAGCTTGAACAGCTTGAACAGCTTGAACTGACTACAGCTTGTACTAGAGAAATCAATTGTACTTTGTACTTTGTACTTTGTACTCAATTGTACTCAGTAACATAAAATCCAAAATTTTCAGATGGAATCAGCTCGACATGCTCATCGTGATCCTTTCCATAGCTGGGATTATCTTTGAAGAGTTTGAGGCCCTCGAATTGCCCATCAATCCGACGATTATCAGAGTGATGCGAGTGTTGAGGATAGCTAGGGGTGAGCGACTGCTAGAGGCTGAGGATTTAGAAATTAGAGCAAACAATGTGAAGTTCGAGAGCGCCGAAGCGAGTTTTGTGCAAAGATTACTGTATCCTGGATGTCACAAGATAGTTTGCCGAGTTTAATGGAGAAGTTATCAGTGTCCGTCTGGGTCGGGGTCATCTGGTGGTTCAGAAGGACCTGGCTTTGGACCTGATTTTAAAATACGGTAGCCGGTCAATTAAGTTTGGCAATTTGCCCTGTGACATCCAGGATACAGTAATCCATAAGCAAAATTGTCTAATATCAAAGACTACGGTAGCCCACCCACTGAATAAGGATTTGGCTTTGGACCTGATTTTAAAATACAGTAGCCGGTCAATTAAGTTTGGCAATTTACCCTGTGACATCCAGGATACAGTAATTCATAAACAAAATTGTCTAATATCAAAGACTACGGTAACCCACCCACTGAATAAGGATTTGGCTTTGGACCTGGTTTGGAAGGCATGCAATAACGGTCAATTCAACAGCAAATTACCCTGTGACTTCCAGGATACAGTAATCCACAAACAAAAGTGCCTCATTGCTAAACCAAATTGTTCCCTTTCAGTGCTGAAACTTCTCAAGATGGCAAAGGGTATCCGCTCACTGCTCGACACAGTCGGAGAGGCGCTTCCACAAGTCGGAAATCTTGGCTCACTCTTCTTTCTCCTTTTCTTCATCTTTGCCGCACTTGGGGTCGAACTGTTTGGGAAATTAGGTAAATGAACGAAAGAATAAATCATAAACAAGGGTAGATTTAGATTAATAATGCCAATTTGGGTAAATGAACCAGTATCATTTTTTTCCGATCATCTTTTTCCGTTCTAGAATGCTCTGAGGAACACCCATGCGATGGCCTTGGCGAGCATGCGCATTTCAAGAATTTCGGCATGGCTTTTCTGACACTTTTCCGGATAGCGACTGGAGATAATTGGAATGGGATCATGAAAGATGCTTTGCGGTGGGTGGATTTTGAAATAATCGATGAATTTGGAGGATCTGGAGCGCAGGAACTCAGGGATTTCGGTTTAATAGAGACTTTTTTGGTGAGTTTTGATGACTTGATTTTCCTTGGTACGATTTTGACTGAATATCTTTAAATTCGACAAAGCTAGATTTTAAAAATTGAAAAATTGAATCAATCTGGAACTCAGTTCAGATGTTTTTCATGTTAAAGACCAGAAATTTCAATTTTTGGATACTTGAGGTTTCACCTGGTTCGACTTTGACTGAATATCTTTAAATTCGACAAAGCTAGATTTTAAAAAATTGAAAAATTTAATCAATCTGGAACTCAGTTCAGATGTTTTTCATGTTAAAAACCAGAAATTTCAACTTTTAGATTCTTAAGACTTTCCTTGGTACGATTTTGACTGAATATCTTTAAATTCTATAAGACTAGAATTTTAAAAATTTAACCAACCTGGAGCTCACTACAAAAGATTCTTTCGTTAAAAACCAGAAATTTCAACTTTTAAATTCTTAAAGTTTAATAGAGACTTTTTTGGTGAGTTTTGATGACTTGATTTTCCTTGGTACGACTTTGACTGAATATCTTTAAATTCGACAAAGCTGGATTCTAAAAATTGAAAAATTGAATCATTCTGGGTCTCAGTTCAGATGTTTTTCATGTTAAAAACCAGAAATTTCAATTTTTGAAATCTTCAGATTTTCCTTGGTACGATTTTGACTGAATATCTCCAAACTTTTACATATAAGATTGCAAAATTTGATTAATTTGGGGCAATCTGGAGCTCACTACAGAAGTTTCTTTCGTTAAAACCCAGAAATTCTCCATTTTCAAATTTTCTAGAGACGACTGCGACATCTCGGAGCGCTGCGAGGTGAATTGCTGCGTTGATCCAATTCTAGCTCCCTGCTATTTCGTGATCTTTGTCCTCATCTCACAGGTATTCATAAAAGCTCTAGGATTACCATATCGATTACCATTTAAGTTCGTTTTGGTGAACGTCGTAGTGGCGGTGTTGATGAAGCATCTCGAGGAGAGCAACAAGAGGGACGCGGCACCGGACGTGCCGGATGAAGGTGAAGCTGAAGCTAAAGCTAAAGAATTGATGACATGCTTTCCAGGATAGCCCTTGATGCTGATAATAGCTCGAAATATGAACTCTAACATAGCAAATGTTCTTAGCGAAAGATTCAGGACTGACTTTAGCACTTGAAAACGCTCAAAAACTACATTTAACACTTAAAACGAGTGAAATGTGTTCTAGAACGAGTCTCAGCACTGCTAAGCTCAAAATTTCACCTCTAGCTATTAAAAATTACGGTAACTCATTCATATCAAGTTCTATTTAACGACCACGATACAGTAATCCTTGCACAAAACTGTCTGATTGCAAAAAATACGGAAGCTCGTCTACTAAACTCGGCAAATTATCTTGTGACATCCAGGATACAGTAATCTTTGCCCAAAACTGTCTAAAATCAAAGACTACGGTAGCCTATCCACTGAATAAGAACCCGACTTCAGACCTGGTTTATAATACATGCAATAACTGTCAATTAAATTTGGCAAATTATCCTGTGACATCCAGGATATAGTAATCCATAAACAAAATTGTCTAATATGAAAGACTACGGTAGCCTATCCACGCAATAAGGATTTGGCTTTGGACCTGATTTTAAAGTACGTTAGCTCGGCAACTAAACTTAGTAAATTAACATGTGACATCCAGGATACAGTAATCTTTGTCCAAAACCATCTCATAACTGAAAGCCTACGGTAATTATCCATCAAACTCAATTCGGGTACAGTAACCCTTGAACAAAAGTATGTAGGTTTTAAGTTTACAGTAGTCTAACTTAACGTGTGACATCCAGGATACAGTAATCTTTGCACAAAACTGTCTAATATCTGAAAGACTACGGTAATTATCCATCAAACTCAATCTGGATACAGTAACCTTCCTTGCACAAAACTGTCTGATTCCAAAAAATACGATAACTCGTCTACTAAACTCAGCAAATTATCCAGTGACATCCAGGATACAGTAATCTTTGCCAAAAACTGTCTAATTCGCAAGTCTAAAAGTCTAAAACTACGGTAACCCGTCCACTCTTTAGCCGCCGACCCCGATGGCCACCAGACGGACACCGATCGAGAAGATGAGATAAAGGAAAATCCGAATGCGATCCCGGTTGCGACCTTGGATGAATCGAAGAGCCCCGAGGCGCAACGATTGGCCTCATTGAAGCGTTTAGAGCGACAGCTGATCGAGGCCGAGAAGCGCTTGATCCAATGCGGGAAACACGATTTGGCCAAAGTCGCGAAAATTGGTACTAATTTTGATTTGAAAGACACAAAAAACTGGATTTACCTAACCTATAGCACTTAACTTTTTACTAAAAATAAGTTTTTCTAAATCGTTTTTAATTTTTCCCTTTTTCTCTATCTACCGTAATCTTGTCTCCATTTTTATCTAATCTCTCCACTTTTTGACCTAATTCTGCTACAAATAGAGACAAGATTACGGTAGAAAGAGAAAAGGGGCACGGTTTAGGGAAACGGGTACAGTGCTGGCTGAAACTGATAATTTTAATGTTTTAAGCTTTGGAAAAACCCTGGTGACTTCCAGATTAGTCAAAAAACCGTTAACAGATTGATTTGGATTACGGTAGAGAGGGGAAGGGGCACGGTTTAGGAAACGGGTACGGTGCTGCTGGATGAAATGGGAAATTTTGCATTTCTAAACTTCAGAACAATCCTAGTGACTTCCAGAATAGCCAAAAAACTGTTTATTGTCTAATTTGGATTACGGTAGAAAGAGAAAAGGGCATGGTTTAGAAAACGGGTACGATGCTGGCTGAAACTGATAATTTTAATGTTTTAAGCTTTGGAAAAACCCTAGTGACTTCCAGAATAGCCAAAAAAACGTTTACTGACTAATTTGGATTACGGTAGAAAGAGAAAAGGGCACGGTTTCGGAAACAGAGAATACCGTAACCCTACCGTAGGGTCACTTTAGATAGGGAACCTTTTAGAATTTATAATTTCGACCCGAATTTCCAGAATCGATCCCGATTCCCGACGGTCCAGTGTTCATCGATCCGGAGAATTTCCCCGAAACGGCCGATGATGGAGAAACGGGGAACGCCGAGGGGAACAGCGACTCCTCGAAACAGATTTTGTTGCATCAAGCACCGAAGTGAGTTCTGAAAATCACTGGGGCTAAATCTTTAGTTGAAAACACAAATTCTCACTTTTATGCAAAATTTCAGTGTACCATGTGGCGCACGTTTGCAAAATTTTCTCAAATCCCTGAAATTTTCATATTTTTTGAAATCTAGTTGTCAAATGACTTCCAGAACGCTTAAAAATCAAAGAATTGAGTGCGCTAGGTGGCTTGGGTTCGGAGGAATTAGCTTGATCTCTAAAATCCTCGAAAACTTCCATTTTTTCATCTCTAGTTGTCAAATGACCTCCAGAACGCTTAAAAACCAAAGAGTCCAGTGCGCCAAGTTGGTCGCGTTTTTCAAAATTTGTTTGATCTCAAAATGCTCAAAGATCTCCAAATTTCAGGAAGCCCAAACGTCAGCTCAGCCAGAAGAAAGCAATGTAAGTGCAAGCATTTCAAGGAAATATTTCAAAAACTTGCAGGCGTTCCACCGAATTCCTCGAAACCGAGCATTTGAACGCTTTTTGAGGGGGCAAAAATGGCGAATAATTTCGTTTTTCGACATTTCTTCAAAATTTGCATATATTCTCGAAAAGTCTTCAATTTTTCGCCGTTTTTTATCGGAAAACATATGCAAATTTCGGATTTTATTCAAATTTCGAGTTTTATGCAAATTTCGGATTTTATGCAAATTTCGGATTTTATGTAAATTTCGGATTTAATGCAAATTTCGGATTTTATGTAAATTTCGACTCTTATTCAAATTTCGGATTTTATGTAAATTTCGGATTTTGTGCAAATTTCGAGTTTTATGCAAATTTCGGATTATATGCAAATTTCGACTTTTTTTGAAAATTTCGGATTTTGTGCAAATTTCGGATTTTATGTAAATTTCGGATTTTGTGCAAATTTCGAGTTTTATTCAAATTTCGAGTTTTATGCCAATTTCGGATTTTACCTAAATTTGGGAATTTATGTAAATTTCGGATTTTGTGCAAATTTCGAATTTTATGTAAATTTCGGATTTTATTCAAATTTCGGAATTTCTGCAAATTGCGAGCTTTATGCAAATTTCGAATTTTCTTGAAGTCTCGGATTTTATGCAAATTTCGGATTTTATGTAAATTTCGGATTTTGTGCAAATTTCGAGTTTTATTCAAATTTCGGATTTTATGTAAATTTCGGATTTTACGTAAATTTGGGAATTTATGTAAATTTCGGATTTTGTGCAAATTTCGGATTTTATGTAAATCTTGAGTTTTATGCAAATTTCCAAATTTATGCAAATTTCCAAATTTATGCAAATTCTGGATTTTGTTCAAATTTCGGATTTTATTCAAATTTCGGATTTTATGCAAATTCGGGAATTTATGCAAATTTCGACTTTTTTTTGCAAATTTCGAATCTCTTTTATTTTTTTTGTTTTTCACCGATCCGACACTTGAGCGGGCTGTTTTCAATACGGGAATTTTTCCATTTTTCAAACTTTTTCCACTTTTTTTTTGGTAAAATTTTTTTTATAACCGAATACTACAGCTCAAAAACACTCAAAAATTTATCAAATTCTCCCAATTTTTTCGATTTTTCCATTTTTCCCGCATTTTCACTTGCTTTTTCTTCAATTTCTTCCATTTTTTTGCTCGAAAATTCACTTTTTTCTGAAAAATTTCCCGAATTTCACAGTTTTCTTCAAATTTTTCGTCAATTTTCATCAATTTTGAGGTCAAAAAAAGAAGCGATTTCTTTTTTTCCGAATTTTTCTTTTCTAAATTTTATTCAATCCGTTTTTTTGATGCAGAGAATGATAAAGATTTATGCTGATTTTAAAAGAAAATTCTTTTCAGACGTTTTTGTGCAAGAGCTACTGTATCGTGGTCGTTAAATAGAGCTTGGTGAGGGTGGGGGTTACGGTACCTGATCCTAGAAAAGCCATCTCTAACACTCACCATTCACCGCATAGCTTGCCGGCTCTCCAGCCTCCTCTTTGATCACTAAATCGTCGCATTGATCGTTGAAACACGGGACGGTTGTCAGTTCTGAAATTTTAAAAAGAAAATCCGAAACAAGGGGACGTCTTTTAGCCATTCTGGAGCTGAACAAAGCTTATGAACAAGTTAAATCGTTGAACAGCTCTCACTTTCCAAATCGGGCACATATGGCGGCAGGAGGTGCTGTGGTGGGAGTAGGGAAAGGAGGAGACCCGAATGTGACTCGTTGAACGGTGAAAGCACACCGAAACGACCCGATCCGAAGCGAATCAGCGCGACTTTTGACTGAAAATTGAGAATGTTTCAAGGTTTTGAGCCATTTTGGCGGTCACACTAGCGATAGAGCTCAAAATCTCAAAGATTACACTAATTTCAAAAGTTTTGACCATTCTGGAGCTCACCACAGACTTTGGAGGGAAATTTTGTGGGAAATGTGCCTTTCTGAAAATTTTGGTCTTAATTCTGGAGCTCACAGCGTCGTTTGAGCGCAAAATCTCAAAGATTACACTAATTTCAAAAGTTTTGGCCATCCTGGAGCTCAGTGAGTGAAATGGCTGGAGCCAAAAGCGTTCAACGAGTTCTTTTTTTTAAGCAGCAAGCTTTTCCGCTGTTAATTGCTCGCTTTCTTGCTATCTGGCTGTGCTAGAGTCTATTCTGGAAGTGATTCTCTCAATCTGAAAGTCCGCCGATCTTTTTGCCTTCTCAAATCCAATATACGAACTCTTTAAAACCAAATTTTTTTTGTTTTTTTTGCTTTTACAGGCAAAAAAACAAGAAATCGGGGTTTTTAGTTAATTTTTGGCTTTTTGCGAGCATTTAGAATTATTATTCACTCCTGTTTGGCCTAGAAAATTCGAGTTTGTTGAAATTTAAGCACGAAATTCTTCTCGTATGTTTTCTAAGGCGTGCCCTGGCTCATTTTCTAAAGGAACTTCAAGGTTTGAAGCCATTTTGGCCGTCACACTAGTCATAGAGCGCAAAATCTCAGAGATTACGCCAATTTCAAAAGTTTTCGCCATTCTGGAGCTCACCACAGACTTTCGAGAGAAATTTTGCGTGGAATGTGCATTCTGAAAATTTTGGTTTCATTTCTGGAGCTCACAGCGTCGATTGAACACAAAATTTCAGAGATTAGGCCAATTTCAGAAGTTTTTGCCATTCTGGAGCTCGCCAAAGACTTTCGAGAGAAATTTTGTGGGAAATTTGCATTTCTGAAAATTTTGGCCGCACTCCTGGAGCTCACAGCATCGATTGAACACAAAATTTCAGAGATTAGGCCAATTTCAAAAGTTTTTGACATTCTGGAGCTCAATGTGTGAAATGACTTCAAAAGTGGAGCCAAAAGCGTTCAACGAGTCCTTTTTGAATCAGCAAGCTTGTCGTATGTTTTCTAAAGCGTGCCCTGATGATCGACGTCTTCGAAAAGCATCAGCTTCGGTTTTTTTTTGGATTTTACGCTTTTATAGCATCCAGAATCGATGAAAAGTTGAGAATTCGTCAAGCGGCTTAATCCTGCGAACGGAATTTTGCTACAACCAAAATTGTGTAGTAATTTGCTGTAATCCGTTCAATTTCTTGGCTTATTTAAACGAATTTTAAAATTTTAATGCGGTAAACAGTAAATAAACTTGTTCAATTGATTGATTTTCATAAATTTTTTATTTTAAAAGGTTTTAAAAGACAGTTTTTTCACAAAAGACAGTGCTGGAATTGCAAAAAAATCGACGAAAAATGGGAATTGTTTCATAGATTTGGAAAAGATTTTGAAATTGATTGAAATTTGCAATTTGAGATCAAGTTTTCGAGGAGATTTGTGGGCAACGCTCGAGGCAAACTCGAGAAATCACGGAAGAGCTGGGATATCCGGCACGTGGACGCCGAATTCGGTGATCTCCCTGAAATTTCCATATTGGATACTTTTTTACTCCGGGATTACTCTAGGCTACTCTGGGATACTGTAAGCTACTCTTGGATTACTGTAAGCTTCTCTGGGATTACTGTAGGCTAGTCTTGGATTACTGTAGGCTATGGGATTACTGTAGGCTACTCTTGGATTACTTAAGGCTATTCTGGGATTACTGTAGGCTACTCTGGGATTACTGTAGGCTACTCTTGGATTGGATTACTGTAAGCTTCTCTGGGATTACTGTAGGCTATGCTTGAATTACTCTAGGCTACTCTGGCAATTTGTAGGCTATTCTGGGATTACTGTAGGCTACTCTGGGATTACTGTGGGCCTCTCTCGATTACTGTGGGCTACTCTTGGCTTACTGTAGGCTATTCTGGGATTCCTGCAGGCTACTCTTGGATTACTGTAGGCTACGCTGGCAATTTGTAGGCTATTCTGGGCTTACTGTAGGCTACTCGGGGATTACTGTAACTTGGCTTGATCTTTCTAAGATTTCTTTTCGCTAGCTAACCCATAAAAGGAGCTTTTTAGCTTGGCTTTTTACTAGATAAAGAAGTAGTTTAATTAAAATTTAACTAGTTTAGTCCCCTGCTTAAAAGATCACTTTGATGATGTTTCATGTTGAAAGCTGGTACTGCGACTCTCGGAGTAACTTTCGGAGTGCGCTCAGAGCCTCTCGGAGTACCGTAGCTGGCTCGCCAGGCAAGCCGGAATTCCGCCAGATTACTGGACGGTCGCCTGGAGGATATACTAACCAGTGTCTAAGTCGATTACGAGAGCTGGACCAGGATTACTGTAACTATGGCTGGCTATGTAAATGTACGCGATTTCTAGCAATTCTCCTGTCCAACTTACATCTCCAAAAACGGGGCCACATGGTTTGCGTGTTTGCGTACGTGTTCATTCAATTGAATCGACTCCTCTTTCAAGATACGAGCGATTTCCGACAGAATTTGCTGGCATCCGATCACCGCCGCGTATTGCCGTACTTTGTTCAGCTCCTAAATTGTTATTTAGATTATTACAGTATGACTACCGAATGCTAGACATGATCATCGAATCGGATCGGATTGGGCTTTATCAGATTGGATTAGGACTGATCTTTATCGGAGTAGGACTGATCCGATTCGATCCGTCCAACCGATTGGACTAGCCCGATCCGATCCATCCGACCGATTGGACTAGCCCGATCCGATCCGTCTGCCCATTTGGGCTAGCCCGATCCGATCCGATCCTATCCCTCCCACCGATCGAGATAGCCCGATTCGATTCGATCCGTCCAAACGATCAGGCTAGCCCAATCCAATTCGATTAGATCCGTTCGACTGGTCGCGCCAGCCCGATCCGATCCGTTCAACCGATCAGGCTAGCCCAATCCGATCCATCCAACCGATTGGGCTAGACCGATCTGATCCGTCTGCCCGTTTGGACTAGCCCGATTCGATCCGTCCAAACGATCAGGCTAGCCCAATCCAATTCGATTAGATCCGTTCGACTGGTCGCGCTAGCCCGATCCGATCCGTTCAACCGATCAGACTAGCCCAATCTGATCCATCCAACCGATTGGGCTAGACCGATCTGATCCGTTCAACTCATCAGGCTAGCCTATTCCAATTCGATTAGATCCCTTCGACTGGTCGGGCTAGCCCGATTCGATCCGATCTGATTTCCTTCAAAAAATGCAAATCCAAAATCCAAAAAAACCATGTCTACCGTATGCCTTACAGATAGCTGTTACAGTGCTACTAACAAGCTCACAAGGTTGAGGTGGCCAAGTGAGCCATATACCGTACGACGCAGAATTTCACGCTGATTCCGATGCTGTTATCCGTTCTTGATTCGATTCGGATGATTCGGAAACGCGAAAAATCTTGCAAGCAAATTGGAGATCAATTCCCAAATGGACGCTGCTTGTTTTCGCTGCTTCCACTCCAGTACCCGTGGATCAAATACGGATACGTCAATGCTCATGTTTTGCGTTTTCAAACACCGGTCGAAGTTTGTTTTAAAGTTGATAAAAACGCTCGCAATATTTTGCTGCGGCGCCACGTAATATTTTAAAAACAGTGCTAAACCACGCACTACAGTATCCGCACTACAATATCCGCACTACAGTATCCGCACTACAATATTCGCACTACTATATCCGCACTACAGTATCCGCACTACAGTATCCGCACTACAATATCCGCACTACAGTATCCGCACTACAGTATCCGCACTACAATATCCGCACTACAGTATCCGCACTACAGTATCCGCACTACAGTATCCGCACTACAATATCCGCACTACAGTATCCGCACTACAATATCCGCACTACAGTATCCGAACTACAATATCCGCACTACAGTATCCGAACTACAATATCCGCACTACAGTATCCGCACTACAATATTCGCACTACTATATCCGCACTACAATATCCGCACTACGGTATCCGAACTACAATAAAACTTTCCCTTACCATATAAAAGTTCTCGCTCTTGTCGGGCAATTTGCGGAAATAGCGCAGAATTTTGTTCAAATCGTTTTGAATTCCGTTCGAGCCGATCCACGAGTGTACTGTAATTTCGATGCATTATGTATTCTTTGGAAAAGGCTTTATTATTTGAAAACTGGACTACGGTAGTCGGGTCACAGAATTCGATTTCAAATCGATAATTCTTACAGAGATCTTTGCACAAACGACTGAATGTTTATGGTGATAGGGTTACGGTAAATGGTTCGTAAAATATTCTACGATCAAGCACTGTACTAGGGAGAGATTACTGTAGCTTTTCGGGAAGCGGCGGCAACAGATTCATTTTGATTGGATGATTGGACGCATTTTAGGTTATGGTAGCTGGGTCAAGGGTGAGGCTTGAGAATTAAACCGTTTTGTGCAAAGTTTACTGTATCCTGGATGTCACACGTGAAGTTAGACTACTTCATTCTTAAAACCTGCATACTTTTGTTCAAAGGTTACTGTACCCAGATTGAGTTTGGTGGATAATTACCGTAGTCTTTCAGATATTAGACAGTTTTGTGCAAAGATTACTGTATCCTGGATGTCACAGGATAATTTGCCGAGTTTAGTGGACGAGTTACGGTATTTTTTGGAATCAGACAGTTTTGTGCAAGGAAGGTTACTGTACCCAGATTGAGTTTGATGGATAATTACCGTAGTCTTTCAGATATTAGACAGTTTTGTGCAAAGATTACTGTATCCTGGATGTCACAGGGTAATTTACTAAGTTTGATTGATGAGCTAACGTATTTTAAAAGCGGGTGTCCAAAGCTAGGTCCTTATTGAGTGGATAGGTTACCGTAGTCTTTGATATTAGACAATTTTGTTTATGGATTACTATATTCTGAATGTCACGGGATAATTTGCCAAATTTAGTTGGCAGTTATTGCATGTATTATAAACCAGGTCTGAAGCAAGCAGATCTAAAGCTTATTGAGTGGATAGGCTACCGTAGTCTTTGACTTTAGACAGTTTTGGGCAAAGATTACTGTATCCTGGATGTCACAAGATAATTTGTCGCGTATAGTGGACGAGTTTCCGTATTTTTTTAAATCAGACAGTTTTGTGCAAGAGCTACTGTATCGCGGTCGTTAAATAGAGCTTGGTGAGGG